ATATATATATATATATATATAGATATATAAACATTTGAACGAATGGTGTTTTTGGCCTCTGGGGACATCAAAATGAAAAAGTAAATCGGTCCCGGGCTTAGGTCTTACCATGAGACCTACGGTAATAGCTACTTCCCTATAGGGAAATTCGCTAAAAACAATTATTTAACTACATTTAACTCTCATAAACGTAGAATTAAGTGGGGGGTTCCACAGGGTTCAATTTTGGGACCAATTTTGTTTTTATGCTATATAAAAGAATTGCCTAAAAGTATTGTTAATCCTCAAAAGAGTAAGATATGTTTATATGCAGATGATTCAAATTTAACAGTGGCGGGGAAAGTAAAGATGAGTTGGAAATTTCGGCCTTTGTAGAATTGTATAATGTACAACAATTTCTAAAAAATAATAATTTGAATCTTAATACAACAAAAACAAACTTTATGTCCTTTTCGACTAAACAAAGTAAACAGAAACTTGAACCCAATTTGATCATAGATTCAGAATCAATAGAACAACTTTCTGAAGCCAAACTTTTAGGTCTCTATGTAGATGAACATCTAAGTTGGAATAAACACGTTGACAAATTATTAAAAAAGCTTAATTCTGGAGTGTACGCATTAAAAAGAATGTCTTATTTGTGCAATATAGATGCACTCAAAAAAATATATTTTGTCCATATTCATTCTCACATAAACTATGGCATTGGAATATATGGGGCAACTACGATTAAAAATTTAAATAAAATTCTAATCATGCAAGAAAAAGCCATTAGAACTATGTTACACCTTAAAAAAGATGAATCAGTTAAATCTCACTTTAAAAATCTTAATACTTTAACGGTTTTTGCAGCGTATACTTTTGAAATAGCATGTATAGCTAAAAGAGACAGCCTAAAATATGAGCCAGTTGTGCCACATAGTTACAATACAAGACATAAAAAGGATATTGTAACTTCAACCTATAAGCTGGAATAAAAAAAAAAAACCGACTTTTGCTGGATCACTAATTCTAAGGAAATTGTCTGCCTCTATAAAGGAGGAATCAAATTATAAATTATTTAAATCTAAATTTAAAAAAACATTTAATAGGAAAGGCGCCTTATACAATGGAGGAATTCATTGAATAAAATATTCATACTTAAAATGTATTTATATCTAAGCTAGTTAAGTACTTTATACTTGAGACTATTTTTGTACCCATGTACATGGAAGGAAAATAAAGATGTTTTGGTTTGATTTGATTTGAGTTATTAGTTGAGTTGTAACTGTTGGAGTTGTAACTGCCGGAGTTATGGATGTTGGAGTAATGACTGTTGGGGCTATTGTGTGGGGCTGTTGGGGCTGTTGTGGCTATTGGAGCAGTGACTGTCCAAGAAGTGACAGTCGGAATTGTAACTGTCTGAGTTGTGACTGTCAGAGTAGTGACTGTTGGAGTTGTAACTGACTGAGATTTAACTGTCGGAGTTATAACTGTCGGAGTGGTGACTGTCGGAGTTATAACTGTCGGATCTGACTGTCTGAGTTGTAACTGTCGCACTAGTGACTGTCGGATGTGACTGTCTGAGCTGTGACTGTTGGAGTAGTGACTGTCTGTGTTGTAACTGACTGATATTTAACTGTCTGAGTTGTAACTGTCGCACTAGTGACTGTCGGATGTGACTGTCTGAGCTGTGACTGTTGGAGTAGTGACTGTCTGTGTTGTAACTGACTGATATTTAACTGTCTGAGTTGTAACCGTCGGAGTAGTGACTGTCGGATGTGACTGTCTGAGCTGTGACTGTTGGAGTAGTGACTGTCTGTGTTGTAACTGACTGATATTTAACTGTCTGAGTTGTAACTGTCGCACTAGTGACTGTCGGATGTGACTGTCTGAGCTGTGACTGTTGGAGTAGTGACTGTCTGTGTTGTAACTGACTGATATTTAACTGTCTGAGTTGTAACCGTCGGAGTAGTGACTGTCGGATGTGACTGTCTGAGCTGTGACTGTTGGAGTAGTGACTGTCTGTGTTGTAACTGACTGATATTTAACTGTCTGAGTTGTAACTGTCGCACTAGTGACTGTCGGATGTGACTGTCTGAGCTGTGACTGTTGGAGTAGTGACTGTCTGTGTTGTAACTGACTGATATTTAACTGTCTGAGTTGTAACTGTCGCACTAGTGACTGTCGGATGTGACTGTCTGAGCTGTGACTGTTGGAGTAGTGACTGTCTGTGTTGTAACTGACTGATATTTAACTGTCTGAGTTGTAACCGTCGGAGTAGTGACTGTCGGAGTTGTAACTGACTGAGATTTAACTGTCTGAGTTGTGACCATCTGAGTTGTGACCATCTGAGTTGTGACCGTCGGAGTAGTGACTGTCGGAGTTGTAACTGACTGAGATTTAACTGTCTGAGTTGTAACCGTCGGTGTAGTGACTGTCGGAGTTGTAACTGACTGATATTTAACTGTCTGAGTTGTAACTGTCGCACTAGTGACTGTCGGATCTGACTGTCTGAGTTGTAACTGTCGCACTAGTGACTGTCGGATGTGACTGTCTGAGCTGTGACTGTTGGAGTAGTGACTGTCTGTGTTGTAACTGACTGATATTTAACTGTCTGAGTTGTAACTGTCGCACTAGTGACTGTCGGATGTGACTGTCTGAGTTGTGACTGTTGGAGTAGTGACTGTCTGTGTTGTAACTGACTGATATTTAACTGTCTGAGTTGTAACCGTCGGAGTAGTGACTGTCGGATGTGACTGTCTGAGCTGTGACTGTTGGAGTAGTGACTGTCTGTGTTGTAACTGACTGATATTTAACTGTCTGAGTTGTAACTGTCGCACTAGTGACTGTCGGATGTGACTGTCTGAGCTGTGACTGTTGGAGTAGTGACTGTCTGTGTTGTAACTGACTGATATTTAACTGTCTGAGTTGTAACTGTCGCACTAGTGACTGTCGGATGTGACTGTCTGAGCTGTGACTGTTGGAGTAGTGACTGTCTGTGTTGTAACTGACTGATATTTAACTGTCTGAGTTGTAACCGTCGGAGTAGTGACTGTCGGAGTTGTAACTGACTGAGATTTAACTGTCTGAGTTGTGACCATCTGAGTTGTGACCATCTGAGTTGTGACCGTCGGAGTAGTGACTGTCGGAGTTGTAACTGACTGAGATTTAACTGTCTGAGTTGTAACCGTCGGTGTAGTGACTGTCGGAGTTGTAACTGACTGAGATTTAACTGTCTGAGATTTAACTGTCTGAGTTGTAACCGTCGGAGTAGTGACTGTCGGAGTTGCAACTGTCTGAGTTGTAACTGTGGGAGTTGTCTCTGTCTGAGTTGTGGCTGCCGTAGTAGTGTCTGTCTGAGTTTTGTGACTATCAGAGTAGCGTCTGTAGAGTTGCTACTGTCGGTAAAAATCCCATTAGAAAAATTAAAGTTCACTTAGTCTGCAAGTTTGCTGCAGTAGGGGTATTTTGACCGTTAGCTTTTATGTTTTTTGTAAAGGAAAACCCTGATATTAAACCCCCCCCCCCCCGATACACCCTTATATATGTGATTTGTTAATATTTAAATTTTCTACTTGTAATATTTAAATTTTAATAATTGGCATAAATTATTAACAGCCAAAAAACAAAAAGGCCAGCAATTGACTTTGCTTAGGATAAAACCAGCAAAATACAGATTTAAACGCAAACACTATATAACTACTGAACTTCTCAGACAACCAAGTCAATCAATAATGATATTTCTAATATTTCACCTTGGGCAAAGTGACAAAAGTCAGGGCCGGACTTAGGGCTTCAGGTACCCCGGGCAAATCTGCCAATGTGGGGCCCCCAGCATGAATATATGATTATGATTATATACACAACATAATGTGTTTTACATGCACACTGATTTGAACTATTATAAGGAATGTAATGGCAAAATAATATTTAAACATGTAAGAATATCAGTATGTTGCATTTTGTATAAAGTAATGTTATATAATATTTTAACTGTAAAAATATTTTTAATGCACGATTTTATGGTTTGTTGTAACTGTATTGATTAAAATTCAATATACCACTTAAGCAGGTACCTTGCAAATTCCTTTGCAATACTACATTACACCATTGACTACTGGATACTGAGGTCTAATTGTTTCAATAGTCAAAGATTAAAGTGTAATATCCTTTTCAACAAATATTATGAAATTTGTTGGTATGGCAAGTACGAATATTTCTCGTGAATTTGGATATCTGTACTGGTGCTCTTATATAAAAATCGCACCAAAAAAGTTGTGTCAATTGTGTCAACACCCGTGATGATTCCCCACGATCACAGCAGTTTCGTAATCATTACTAGATCATGGCCAAATCCGTGAAAATTTCTCTTGATCATGGCAACACATGTGATAACACATGTGATGTGTAATGTCTTCTGATAGCAGGAACATTCGTTTATCTTCTAAGCGACCATGTCAACGTTTATTTTACTCAACCACGGCAATCGGGACAACACCTTGTGATAATTTCACACAATCGTGGCAATCGGGTTTTACGTGTTAAGAAAAACAGTATACTTTTTAGTTGGTATGTTCAAATCCTGCGACTATTTTTTGGGATCTCGACGGAGTTTTGTGATGATTCCCCGTGATCACGGCAACATCCACCATTATATCTCAATACTCGTGACAATTTGTTGGGATCCCGACCATTATCTGGGATCATATTTCAATCCCGACAAAATTCGTGATGATTTTCCACGATCGCGGCTACCGCTGTAATGATTTCTTGCAATCGCGGCAATTTCGGTATTCATATTAGTTTCCACGATCATAATTTTCAAATACGCACAACGAGAGTCCATTCGGTAAGCGCCTAATTAATTTTTGAAGTTATTAAGAAAAACTACAGTACGAAGGGGGGACCAGGGGGGCCCCGGTCGCTCGCTCCGTCCGCCCCTGACAAAAGTATTAATTAAGTACTGATTATTTTTAAATTGAACTTGTGTATAAATACTGCTTTAATGTTGATCTTACCTTCTGGCAATATCATCAACCACCCCTTGAGCTATAATAGAAGACTGGGTTTGAAGAAGATACATCAGTTTATATACCGCAGATATTCCCTAAAAACAAATATTATTAACAAAGAGTCCTTAACTAAGACAGTATAAAATTAACAACAATATTGTTAATAGCATGAAATTCATAAAGTGCTACTATTCCTTTTCCCTAGTATTTATTTTAAAGATCGCATCTCAGAACATGCCAATTGTTCGAGTTATTGAGGTCCTATTGTATACAACATAAAAGTATATCTTCAAGAAGAACTGGTAATATTGGAATTAATATTAATTTGAAATAACAACCTCACCAATATTTCAGAATTTTTAATTTTTATGAGGCCTTTCGCCAGCTATGCTGGCATCATCAGACACATCACAAAACATTTGTTTTGTGATTAAAATTAAAAATTCAGAAATATTGGTGAAGTTGTTATTTCAAATTAATAAAAGTATATATTCAATATTCAATCTGGGTTGTATTTTATCTATAGGGGCCTATTAAATGATCTTTAGTTTTGTGTTTACAGAAGAATACCTATATTTTGTTTTGTTCTTTTGTTAAAATGTTAATTCCAAGATATACTGATTCAAATTCAAAATAGTCTTTATTTGTTTGTAGTATAATACATACAAAAATAGTGTCAAATACAGATTCACTTTGTTAATTCAAGTTGAGGACAATAATATATATGTATTAGTATAGTAAACCTGCCAACTCAGTAGGCCTACCCTGAAATGAATGATTTTATTTCATAAACACAACATGTTCAACATTGTGAAATTAAAGAATGCTTGCTGCAAATGTTATTTCATGATCATCGCCTGCAGTTTATTTTTTTATTACCGTAATCAATTTATCTAGGCCTATACTATAATATAACAATCTATTGGTGTCTGTCTATATGTGTGCTACTAGGCGCAAAAAATACTGAACCGACTGGGCTTAAATTTTACAAAACTATAGCTGCTATACCAAGAATGGTAATATAGGACAATTCACACTTCGATAGTGGTCGTGGGCAGCCCCCCAGCCCCCTTGGCGATAAGGAAATGTGCGTGATACCTGACCAGCTGTGTATCCTACAGTCTATACGCAACTTCCGCATTATCAACACGGGTCCGCTTGTCGAGTTCAATGTTATATTTAATTGGCCATATATGTGTTTGTTCGTCATGTGTTTGTGTAAGTGTAAAAAACTGTTACTGACGACCTTCATATGAAGTATAGCCTACTGTAATATCATCCTTGTACACACCTGATGATGACCTCCTAGCAGGTTGAAACTAGTTTTGAATACAACAATCAGATTGCAAGAATAAGGTATTTAAACCACAATCACTAGTTGTTATTAAGTAAATTAAAATACCAAAGTACCCTGATATTATATTAGTATTTTAATTTAATTAATAATATACTTGTTAATACATTGTTTACAGTTTGATCTATATTTTCCAAGTTGCTTTCCAAATTCATTAACTTTTTTGTTTTATATTCAGTAACAAATTTTAATTTGTTATCCATTTATTTGGAGACAATTAAGTTATTGTCTTGATGTTGATGACATTCAATGTACAATGACAACAATAAACACAAATTTTAAAACAATTATCTTGAATATCACAACATTCAATATACAAATGACAACAAACCATGAATTTGACAACATTCAAGTTAAAAACTATTCTGATTTTTTACTTACATTTTTTGTTAAGTAAATAGATCTGTTAGAAGGGAGGATGTAATATTGTATGTCCAGTGTGTTGGGGAGGCCAAGTACCATCTAGGGTACCAGTGGCCACAGCAGTAGTAGTAGTATATTGGAGAATGTAAATTTAAAGAATATACAAATCATTAACAAGTTAAGATTTGAAAACAAAACATAAAATTGAAAAAATAGAAAAAAATTAGATAAATAAGTTTATGGACCCACAATATTATTGTTGCATTAGTAAAATGTTAAGATCATCATTTGCCTCAAAGAATTTTTAACATTTTAGATGAAAAACTAAATTAAAGAATTAAATATAAAGGACTTTTAATTATTACTGGAACTAAACCTTTTAAATATAAACAAAATTGTTTGGTTAAATCTGTATAATTTGTAAACACTATTGAATATTCTACTTATTTTGGGGAAAGCTTAAAAAGTGTTGTTTTGTAGAATTTTTTGATAATTAGGACTAAGGACTAATCATCCATCAAACATCAACCAATTCATCAAAATTGTATTTTTTTTCCTGAAAATGTAGAACCAGGATTTTGCCATGATGATGAAGATGTCACCATGACTGTGTGATATGATAAAGCATATTACCTCAAACACCAACATGCGATTTCCTCCTTCCACAGGTTCAGTCTAAAATTCAAATAAATTGGATCAAATAAAAACTAGGTTAAGATTAATTCATTAATAAGGTTTATATTACCTGGCTACTGTCTCCGATCCTCGAAATAGTTTTAAGAAACTACAGCTGTTTCATGCCTTACATTGGCACATCATCAGGTTTGGTGAACGCCAGCTTTTCTATAAAATATCCCTCGGAGATGAGATCGTTATGGTTTGACGAAAAACATGTAGACATTTACACACACGAAAACACGCACGAAACATTTAAACACTAATAATTGAGAAACTACTGCGAAACGTAATGCGGCGCCGGTGATGGATAAGTTATCCAGCGATTTATCCATCACCGGCGCCGCATTACGTTTCGCAGTAGTTTCTCAATTATTAGTGTTTAAATGTTTCTTGCGTGTTTTCGTGTGTGTAAATGTCTACATTTTTATCGTAAAACCATAACGATCTCATCCCCGAGGGATATTTTATAGAAAAGCTGGCGTTCACCAAACCTGATGATGTGCCAATGTAAGGCATGAAACAGCTGTAGTTTCTTAAAACTATACCGAGGATCGGAGACAGTAGCCAGGTAATATAAACCTTATTAGTGCTAATTTTAACGATCCAGTGGCCAACCATCATAAGATTAATTGTTTTGGAATAGAGAAATGCTCTTTTTCTTAGCCTGACTGTACAGGATTTGTTATTAAACATATTTCATATGGAAAAAACACAGTTTACAGGACCCACAAAGTTGTTTCCACACATTTTTACTAACTTCTTGTGACTTAACATTGGTTTTACATATTTTTTAACCACCCATAAAATGAGCTAAGGCATATTTATTTTAATGAGCTTAAAGCATCAAATTTCAGTAAACCAGTCACCAATTTGAACTCCAGCTCTGTACACACCCACAGTAAGACATCAACCAAGTTACTCAAGTTACTCTGTAAGACTATATTGTTTCGTCCCAGAAACATTTTTAGCTACGGTATTCTAGTTCACACGTGGAACAAAATACCATATTTAGCCCACTCAAGATCTCTCCTAACTTATAGCCTCACAAAGGGTTTGAAGGGAAAACTTTTACTTTGTGAACTGCACAGCACCATAACACCTTCAAACTAAAGTGGATGTATGAATCAGAAGGGGTTGACTTGAAACGGAATGTAGTGAAGAAGCATTCCAGAATCACTCTTTAATTCAATGATTTTTGAACAAAATCATAACCAAACCACTGTTTTAAGTTTGATAAGAACAGTGTTTTGAGTTCACTGTAGACACAGCATCTCCTATATTCTATTTTATCCTTGTGTAAAAAATATCACATAACATGGTTGAAAGTTAGATACAAACTAACAGGGTCGTATTTATAGTCGATGTGGCCCCCGGCGGCTCACACCAGAGAGGCCCCAACTGCTGATTCAACTGTAATTTCAACTGAACTTGACCCTTATGAACCTATTCAAATAAACCTATGAATCTAAGACCCTAAACTAGGCCTATATGGGAAAATCCATTTATTTTCAAATAATACTATTAGAGGTGTGTGGGAGAGACTTGTTTACACATAAGCGCAAACTAATACATAGTAGTACTGAAGCAACCCAACATAGTAGCAAACTGAAGCATAGTAGTTGCCTGGTTCATGGTCAGGTAAAAAATGTTACTGTTATTTATGGATATCAGATCAAAATCAATTTTGTTTTTCTATTTGAGGTAAACCGAGTCTAATCTACCATTAGACAATCTTAAGATCCTTTCATCAAAACTAAAAAAAATATCTTCTGAACATACTTACAGTACTAAGAATTTCTCCATGCTGTTCCTTATTCTGTAAAATTTAAGATTTAAATGTAATCATAAATCTGTTGAACCTTATTTGCTATATAATATTAACGCACAAAAAACAAAAGGCATAGTAATTAATTTGTTGAAATTTAGTGCCAGTTTATATTTTTGGACAAACAAAATTTTTTGTTACTTTATAAAGAAAATAAATTTAATGACTTCATTAAATTAAACTAATCAAATCATTTAATAAACTATTCATACCGTACTAAAGTGTTGATCCGTGATATCAAGAATAATTTGTTTGGTTATCATGAATTCGTTTCACAGGACTTTAGCTGTTATATGATAATGTTACTTTTCCAAGACTTTCTTCTATTCTTTAACTACTACCGGTACTCAAGTTTATTTAATTCCAAAGAATTATGCCTCAAATTTTACTTACATAATCCTCTTCACAAATCCACACTCCCTGCAAAAAACTTACAATGCTGTAAAAAGTCAAATTAATCACTAGTAAAAAATAAATTTTAAACAATATAACCTAGTCGTTTGTGTAACTAGTGTGCAAAGTAGCACTTTGCGCTCACGTTACACATTATATTTTTCCTACAGTATAAAGCATGTAAATAATTTAGTCTTTCAAACACTTAACAACTCGATTTAGGTTAGGTTAAATCCAGGGGTTGAACAAAAAACAATGTTAACTCAAAACAACAGGTTACTGTAAGTGGTACCTAGTATAAATAGTCAAAGGCTGGGAAATGCTGTACTAAACAACTGATCTTCATAGTCATAATATCTTTAAGTGTTGCCAATAACTTATTATTTTCAAGCGTAGACGTATTAAAAGCCTAATAAAAGCACACAGTTTTGTGTTTGTTTGGTTGGAATACTGAGTGGCAAAGTAAAATATGAGAGGCAAAAGTAAATAAATACAGCAATTAGCTATTTCCTGTGCTAATCAGTGCAAGGAAGCCCTGTTTGTCAGGTAACTGTAGGAAAATCATATTTGTAAAATTTTCATTTACCCAATTAAACTTAAAAAACCACAAATTATTAGTTTAAAAATGTGTAATATTGCTCAATAAAATATAGCCACCTCCAGTCTGACTAGGCGGATTTCTAGTTCTAAATATCCATAGATCAAGGGAGACCTACAACTTGATCCCTCCGATCCCTTCTCAATCCCTTTATATTTTTTTATTAGTATAACCATTGTATAACCTATACAGGGGTTTTCACAGGAACCCTGATAAACTTTGGCAAATGACTCCTGCGATAAAAGATAGAAATAAATGTCTTATTATCAGCATAGATCCTAAGCTCACTCGTTTTCTTTTTTTACGTAAACATATAGGTATTTTATAGATTTTAAGTATATCTTCTGTTGAACATTTTGTAGCAACCCGCTACAACTACTCAAGCGCCATGCGTAAAGTCACGCGACACGGCTGGAGTAGTTGCGCGCGCAGGTCCACCAAATAGGGCACCCGCGCAAGGAGAGGACCGGGAACAGTGTAGTGTCGCGTGAGCCTGGAACAGCTGAACATCTACGTTTTGGATGAGTACTAGGATTATGATTAGATAATTTAGTGGGGGTTGGGGAAGGGTGTAGGCTAGGGTAAATCATCAATTATTTAATTTATTAGGTTTACTAAATGGTCGTGGTCTGATGATAAATATTCCTAATTTCTGAATTAAATATTTGAATTCACGCTAGCTACATCTAGTTACTTTTACGATTCAGAATAGGTCCAGTTATATAATTATTACTCTGTTCACTGTATATTAATTCGATACAGGGTCGCTGAAAAGTAACTTACACTCCTCCTTAACTTTTCAACCATTTGAGATATTTGAAATCTGTTAGCGGCAACCTTCTTAGATATGAGGGGCTACAATAATCATGGTCAATTTTGAAAATTTCGCCCTTAGGGCAGTGGGAGTAGGGGGTAGCTCAAAATTTTCAAATGTTAAGTATAGTCGAGTTTGGTACCATTTTAGAGGTCCTGACGAAAACATAAAAATTGGCATAAAGAAAACCAAAACTGGCCCACTAATAACAAAATGGGGCCTTAAACGTTTCAAATCCAAATAACCATGAGGGTGGCAAAAAAATTAACTTGTACCCCCTTTAATTTTTTAACTATTTGAGATATTTGAAATCGGTTTGCAGCAACTTGTTTGGATATGAAGGGCTACAATAATTATGGTCAGTTTTGAAAATTTTGCCCTTAGGGGTAGCGGGGGTAGGGGGTAGCTCAGAATTTTCAAATAGCAAGCATAGTCGAGTTTGGTATCATGAGGCTTTGCCCATCCTGAACAGGTACAACCGGAAAAAGCCGTGACCCGCCAGAAATTGGGTGAGGTAGAAATCCACTGCCATTAATAGCACCGCCAATTAACCCAAGGTTGGACTTGCTGTATCAGTCGCCTGGTCCAGCGTCCCCGAGTCTCGTGTTCCCAGCTCACCTGCCAAAACTGGTAGGTGCGGGTGCGTTCCTCTGTTCGTGCCTGGTCCTCCCCACGGCGCTGAAAAATTGCCTTTCTCTCCGCCGCCAAAAGTTTGACGGGGATGACTCCAGCAACCACCAGGACGGTGGATTCGGACACTGTTTGGTAGGCGGATGCAACTCTTAGTGCTGCCTGACTCGGGCGAGCCACATTCTATATACCTCCTTATTGAGAGCGTCTGCCCACACCTCAGCACCATACAAGAGTACGGACTGGACAGAAGACATTAACAGCCTTCTACGGCTGGACCGAGGCCCTCCGACATTGGCCATCAACCGCCTAAGAGCGGAGACCACCCTAGCGGCCTTGTCCGCCGTACGGAAAATCTGATCCCGCCAGCTAAGCTTGCTTTCCACCATAACCCCAAGATACTTGGCAGAACGAACGGTCTGGACTTCGACGGCCCCTACCCTCAACGGCACAATGGTGTCAATCCGTATTTTTGTTAATATCACGATCTCAGTTTTGCTCAAAGCAAACGAGAGACCGTGGTCTGTAATCCACCCTTCCGAAATCCCGCAGTGGGCGCAACGTGTGAGCCGGGAAAAGGGACTCGACTATCCTCTCCATAGTGGCCCCATCCATGACGGAAGGTGGACAGCGGGTGCCAAATTTCTTGGTTACAAGTTTGTAACCCGGGCTCCACGGATTGGAATCGACATCGTCCCTTAATGTCTCCCAGCAACTGCGTTTACTCTGGTTGAGGGCTCGACGAAGAGACCTCCTAGCCACTCTGTAAGCATCCGAATTATGACGTCTGTCTACAGGTTCTCTGGCCATGGTAGCAAGTCTTCTGGCTCTCAATGCTGACCAATGCAATTCCGCAATCTCGGCAGTCCACCAGTACACAGGTCGCTTATTGCACCGGGATCTCCTGCGAGGCATAGACTCATCACAAGCCGAGACGATCAGTCCCATCATGGATGTAACTAACGCCTCTGCGTGAGCCACGCTAGTTGCGGGGGGAACCACTGGTGTTCCTCGTAAGATGGCTTCATTGAATTTTGCCACGTCCAATTTTGTAATATTCCATCGAACGGGCACTTGACGAAACGCAGCTACTTGTCTCTGATGACCATCCAGGACATCAAAAATAATGTACTGGTGGTCACTGGCCGTGTAATCCTCCAGGACTCTCCATACTCTGATCCTTGGCAAAAGGGACTCAGATGCAAAAGTTATGTTTGGGATCCTTCCCCGCATCCCAGGGAGCCGGAAAGTTGGTGTGTTTCCCTCGTTGATGACAACGAGTCCGGCTCTGGCAGCAAAGTCCAGAATGTACTTGCCCCGGGAATTGGTAAGGGTCATTCCCCACTCGACAGCCCTAGCATTAAAATCCCCACCCACCGGAGACGTGTCCTGTGGTATTGCGCACACTCTCTTCCAGGCGGTCTATCTTCTCACAAAAGTCACATATGGCCTCGTTGGGAGTAGGTAGACACTAAAGTATGTGACATCCCGGCACCAAACCCAAACGAAACCTCGGCCCTTCGCGTGACCCCGTACTTGTACTTTAGCTGCATTACGCGCCCGGAATGCAGCAGTACCAAGACTATCAGGGTCCCTATCACGGTACTGGTACTGTTTGCTGACTAACAGCACTCTTTCCCCTCCTCAGGTAGAATGGCAATTTTTGTCATCGGACGCCGAAAAGTACCTTTTGGTGTAGTGATGTTAACAACTCTTACTTGTCCATCTCGACCGGGGTATAGGGCAGATATTCTTCCAAGGGGCCAGGTGTTACGTGTATTGTCTTCGTCTACGATTATTGCCAAGTCGTCAACTTCAGGTGGAACAGTTCTTTTATGCCATTTGCACCTCCTTGTTAAGCAGGGTAAATACTCAAGAATCCATCTTTTCCAAAAGTTGTCCAGTAGGGTCTTAACTCGAGTTAGTTGCCTTCTGCAAAGTTTGTTTTCATTGATATCTATTTTGAAGGCTTCTCTAAGAAAATGGTTTGGAGTGAGCGGGTCTGGATCGAGTGGGTCAATTGGTACATTAGTCAGTGGTCTTGAATTGATGATAAATTCTATTCGAACAAGAAAGGTTCGAAGTTCTTCATCCTTAGGATACTGGGAACGCATGACAAATTTTAATGTGGTTTTAACTGATCTGATGAGTCTCTCCCAGCATCCGCCCATATGTGGGGCTCGAGGAGGAATAAAGTTCCATTTGATACCTTGTCTGGATATGACTCTCTGAATGTGGACATTGTTTAAACACTTAGTAGCATTCCTGAGTTCTTTGTCACTCCCAACAAATCTTGTTCGGCAGCAGAAGCTACTCTACATCCTAAAACGGGAGCTTGGAGTTCCAGTCTAGTTATAGTCAGGTTCTTGATGGGTGCCACCTTGGCACGTGACATGATCAATGTCGTTTCCTAAGTTTCTTTGTTCTCCTGACGCAGATATGCAGTTGTAGCAAAAGCTTCTTCACTTGCGTCAACAAATATGTGAAGTTCAACTGAGTCACTGACTCGTGTGTTGAAGTAGCACCTTTGTATTTTCAGTGTTCGAAAACTTTTGACTTCATCAAGCAAGCTTTCCACTTCAGACTAAGTTCAGGTGTCACAACATCATCCCAACCTAGTTTTGTTCTCCATATATCCTGAACCAGTAATCTTTTAAATTTTGATTTTTAAAAGTATGATTTTTTCATAAAACAATGAAAAAATTAAATTTCTCCAATATGGCCCAAAAATTTTGATGAAAATTTAGTATGTTATAGTCCTTTTGACTCTAAACAAGGGGTTATAACCTTCATCACTCTGAAAATTACGGTTAAAAACTTTAGCAGCTTTAGTGGTTTTCCTCATAAAAACACATACAAATTATTTTAGGTTGTGATATTCAGTTATTAACGTACTGGATCCGCAGATGTGGTTGGTGTAGAAACACCAACTGTGAAATAACTGATTTTGTATCACGACCGTTATAGTTGTCGTGACAATAATTTAATCAGGAATGAACTAAATTAAATAAGACTTTATTTAAACATTAGATATATAGATGTCTTTTGTAAGAAGTCTATAACAATAACAATATTTATTTGCAGCTGATCATAATAATCTCCTAAATAAAACATATTTGTTAACAGCTGATCATAATAATCTCCTAAATAAAACACATGTTTTATTTGCAGTCTTTATGAAACATCCCCCTTGAATGATTTGTAGGGAATGGTTATTAAAATTATAGGGAATGATTGAAAAATGGGAATAGAAATGAGAAAGGGTTTAATGAGAATTAGTTCGAAGGACCAGAGGGTAATATGTAGAGATATGGAGATATTGAGATTAATGAATATGAGAGAGAGAAAAATTAACACACTTTAATGGTTACAAAAGAACAAGAACTCAGATTTATTTACATTTTTAACATGTTAACAATATCCTATACTCTAATACGAGCAATGTTTGCTTGTATGTATGTATGTATGCTTGCTTGCTTGTAAACAAGATCTCGAAAACGGCTCCGACGATTTTCTTCAAATGTTGTAAATAGTCTATTTCTGGCCTAAAAACGAGTTTACTGCAGTTAGAACTGCCAACAAAAATGTAATTACGTAGAAAAATGAAACTGAAAATCACATTTTTTTTACATTAGTCTTATGGGTTGCTAGGTAACCATGTTGGCTGAATTAAATAACAAGAAAAAGTAAACAAAAGACTTGAAGTTGTAGCATGTGTTCATAATAAGCCAACTACCCACAGTATACTAGCAAATTACAAATACAGTACAAAAGGAAAAACATCACTTGTTAATATTTAGCAAAGATTATACTGAAGATTACTCAATACATTGTAGTCAAGGGTAGCAGTGCGAAGTCTGGAATCTGTTTATGACGAATAGATTAAGGTATCTACAATCTTAAAATGCTATGGGAAGGGAAGGAAATAGGTCCGCGTCGTAGGAAGTGATGAAGGAAGTAGTAAAGGCAAGCAGTCCGGAGTGTGGGGACTGTTTGTGACGATAAGATTAGGGTATCTGCAATCCTAAAATGCTATAGGAAGGGAGGAAAACAGGTCCGCGACGTAGGAAGTGGTGAAGGAAGTAGTCAAGGCGATTAGTCCGGAGTGTGGGAACTGTTTATGACGATTAGATATAAGGGTATGGGCAATCCTAAAATGCTATGGGAAGGGAGGGAAACAGGTCCGTGACGTAGGAAGTGGTGAAGGAAGTAGTAAAGGCGAGCTGTCCGGAGTGTGGGAACTGTTTATGACGATTAGTTAAGGGTATGGGCAATCCTAAAATGCTATGGGAAGGGAGGGAAACAGGTCCGTGACGTAGGAAGTGGTGAAGGAAGTAGTCAAGGCGAGCTGTCCGGAGTGTGGGAACTGTTTATGACGATTAGATTAAGATATTTGCAATCCTAAAATGCTATGGGAAGGAAGGAAAAAAGGTCCGCGATAGAGGAAGTGGTGAAGGAAGCAGTCAAGGCGAGCTTTCCGGAGTGTAAGAACTGTTTATGACGATTAGATTAAGGGTATGGGCAATCCTAAAATACTATGGAAAGGGAGGGAAACAGGTCCGTGACGTAGGAAGTGGTGAAGGAAGTAGTCAAGGCGAGTAGTCCGGAGTGTGGGAACTGTTTATGACGATTAGATAAGGGTATGGGCAATCCTAAAATGCTATGGGAAGGGAGGGAAACAGGTCCGTGACGTAGGAAGTGGTGAAGGAAGTAGTAAAGGCGAGCTGTCCGGAGTGTGGGAACTGTTTATGACGATTAGATAAGGGTATGGGCAATCCTAAAATGCTATGGGAAGGGAGGGAAACAGGTCCGTGACGTAGGAAGTGGTGAAGGAAGTAGTCAAGGCGAGCTGTCCGGAGTGTGGGAACTGTTTATGACGATTAGATTAAGATATTTGCAATCCTAAAATGCTATGGGAAGGGAAGGAAACAGGTCCGTGACGTAGGAAGTGGTGAAGGAAGTAGTCAAGGCGAGTAGTCCGGAGTGTGGGAACTGTTTATGACGATTAGATAAGGGTATGGGCAATCCTAAAATGCTATGGGAAGGGAGGGAAACAGGTTTGTGACGTAGGAAGTGGTGAAGGAAGTAGTCAAGGCGAGCTGTCCGGAGTGTGGGAACTGTTTATGACGATTAGATTAAGGTATTTGCAATCCTAAAATGCTATGGGAAGGGAGGGAAACAGGTCCGTGACGTAGGAAGTAGTGAAGGAAGTAGTCAAGGCGAGTAGTCCGGAGTGTGGGAACTGCTTATGACGATTAGATTAAGGTATCTCCAATCTTTAAATGTAATGGGAAGGGAGGAAAACAGGTTTGTGACGTAGGAAGTGGTGAAGGACGTAGTAAAGGCAAGTAGTATGGAGCGTGGGAACTGTTTATGAAGATTAGATTAAGGTGTCTGCAATTCTGAAATGCTATGGGAAGGGAGGAAAACAGGTCCACTACGTTGGAAGTGGTGGAGGAAGTAGTCAAGGTGAGCTGTCCTGAGTGTGGGATCTGTTAATAACGATTAGATTAAGGTATCTACAATCCTAAAGTGCTATGGGAATGCAGGGAAACAGGTCCATGACGTAGGAAATGGTGTAGGACGTAGTAAAGGCGAACCATGTGGAGTTTGGGAATGGATTTATGTATCTCCAATACTAAGACTGCTTTCAGAGTGAACTAATGATTTTCCCCGAGCAAAGCTCGGTCCCCAGGTACTAATAATTTAATTTGATTAAGAACACATGTTTCAAGGAAAAGATATTGTACATTGAAGAAAACATAGTGTTATAATATATGAAATGGTTCAAGTTTACTGAACATACCGGGGGCCTTGAATCCCCCGTGGATTCAATAGAAACAGTTCACGAATCCACAATTGGCAGGGGAAATACTTTGTGGGCAGATCTTGTGAGGTTGCCACTTGATGTTTTTAAGTCTATCACTCGCACAACCCCATCAGCCCCTGGATGAACTGCTGTAATTCGAGCGAGAGGCCACGAGAGAGGTGGTGAGTCCATATGTACCAGAACAAGGTCACCCACTTCAAGATTTTTTGATTTCCGAGTCCACTTGGTACGTTGTTGCAAGTTGTTTAATTCTCTGTAATTCCTCGAAATCGAAGGCACACATCGGACAACTTGTAGACGGTTAAGTTTTTCAATGGCTGTTTTACCTAGGAGCGGTGTTTTACATTTTTTTGCTACATAAAAATGCTCGAAACAAGATTTGTTCTTATAGTCTAACTTTACATTTACCATCCCTCATACAGCTAACTGAGTCCCATCCTGTCCTGAAAGTCTTTTACAGGTATTTTTGTTTAGCTGCTGGCAAAACTGAAATGTCTACTTCGGTATTGATTTTAAACTTAACAATGTCAGACAGAATCATTTAACCTGAGGTCAATTTCCCAAGATTCAGGGCTTAGAGCACTGTTTTCGGTAATTTTAACTATGAATTCTTCAGAATTTGATGAATTTGTACAATATTGATTAACAAACTGAGGTTCACTACTGACTTCATTAACCTTTTGCTTAGAACAAACTTTAGCGAAGTGACTGTTTGTTTTACAGTTGTTACACCAAACATTTTTGGCAGGACACAAATCTCGTCGATGGGATTTAGTATTTCCACACCATTTACATAGGTTTCCTGGATTGGATTTTCCATGGTTATTAGAAATACATTTCTTATAAAAAGACTTTTTGGAAGTGACGTTTAATTTTACCCGATCAATGGAGGGATCAGCTAGGTCAAGTTTTTGCCTAACTAATGCCTCTGAACTGCGAAGAGCATTAACTGCAGTTTCTAATTTTAGTGAGCTTTGTAACTGTAAGTGATCACTAAGGTTTTGATCATTCATTCCAACAATAAGTTGCATGAGAATCATTTCATCCCTAAATCTCCCCAGTTGCATGGTTTTGCAAGAGTATGTGTAAGTCTGTGATGAAGTTTTCAGCAGACTCTGAGAATCCCTGTTTTCGTCTAAGAAAATTAGCACGTTGATAAATTATGTTTGTTTTGGGAACGAAATGGTTTTGGATTTTTCCAATAATCAGTTCATAATTTTCCAACTCATCAGGAGGGCTTGGTAAAAGGAATCAATATTTCCTCAGCCTTATTCCCCATACAGTAGCAAAGAATATCAACTTGCCTTTTCCCAGGTGCTTTATGTAGATCGCTGACTGACCTCTGTACCTTTCAAAGCGTTTCTTCCACACACTCCAATCATAGGGGTTGAAGGGAAAATTGTCTGGAGGCTTGACATGGATATGATTAGTTTGAAGTGTGTTCTCTTCAATTTTCTGTTGGATCTGTAGGTTTACATCATGCTGTGCCATGTATCACGGCCGTGATAGTTGTCGTAACAATAATTTAATCAAGAATGAACTAAATTAAATAAGACTTTATTTAAACATGTCTTTTGTAAGAAGTCTATAACAATACTGTATCTATATTTGTTTAGGGGTACATCTGATCATAACATACTCCTAAATAATACACATGTTTTATTTGCAGTCTTTATGAAACAGATTTAGTTATTTAGCATGCGGGAATACTCTTTCCTGCTTTTGGAGCAAAATGTGCTATTTTGAGTAGGCGGCCTACTGTTTAAAGGTATGGTAATGATAATTTCCATGAACAAAACTATTATTGTTAGATACTCCCACTGATTACTCATGATAAAGGCAAATCTACATACCTGTGCTGGCAGAGGGGAAGGGTAAGTACTAACGGGGGTGTTCTGGATGTGGACATTGGTCAGAGTTATATCTCCGAGGATCTCAATTTTGGAGATAGACTTGAAAGGTGCTCTGTGTCTGTATGAGACGTAGTGCTGACCATCCACAGCCACCTGACAGCAACACACCAATGGAAAGATGAGTGAAGAATGAGTATTAAAGCCCAACAATCCAAGGGCAGCTGGGTCCAGGTTCTAACGTCTAAATGATATATGTATAGCTTTTCTCAGGATTGACTGTTTATACCATTTAGCTACTCAACTTAAGGCTACACCATTAGAAACAAGGGCGTACCCAGGATCAAAACAAGGGGGGGGCAAGAGAGTACTTGAAACAGGGGTCGCTGTGGGTGGCCCACCGGGGGGCCTGGGGGTATGGAATACCCCCAGCTTGGAGGGGTTCGGGGGAAATTTTAAAAACAAATAGTGTACATGTTGCTCTAAATCGAGCAATTTCAAAGAAGTACAGGAGTTGAGGAGTTACATATAAAAAATGACTTGTTTAAAAACATAATAACAGTCATAATTTTTGATGATTTTAAAAGAGTCAACTAGAAAATTATTAACTAGGCTAATAAAAATACTCATAATTTACATAGTGTCCTATTCCAGTTTAAAAGGTTAATTTTTAACTATCAAACTGCCCATGGACGGGAAAAGATAAGCTTACAATTTAAGTCAACGTAAAAAGGCTGTCAGCTGTTATAATGTACCATACCTAAGTTATTTAGCCAATTTGTAGACAATAAGGTGTATGCTACTTTAAACTCTACAGAACAGAGTTAGGCAAAAACTGGCAGAACTCTGAAATGGTGTTATTTATACTCATTACTCATTACTCATATGCCAAATCCTTAAAATAAAAATTCAATAATTAATAACTTATATCATTTAACACAAACCAACATCCAAAACTTACTTACTTACTTACTCCTGTGGCCACACAAATCCCAAGTGATTTTTGGCCTCCCCAACAATGCTCCTCCACTGCTGCCTGTCTTCTGCTGCCCCCAAACTTCCTCCTAACCTCCTGAGGTCCTGCCTCACTTGGTCATTCCATCTTAATCTGGGCCGTCCCAGCGGCCATCGTCCTTCTGGTTGCCCCATCCATACCTTCTTAATCATACTGTTATCATCTCTTCTATCCACATGTCCCAGCCATCGTAATCTTCTGCTCTTTACCATTGCTATAATATCTGGGTCATTATAAAGTTCTCTTAATTCTTGGTTCTTCCTTATCCGCCATTCACCATTGTCATTAATAGGTCCAAACACTCTACGTAAGATTTTATTTTCAAAAACTATCAATTTCTTTTCATTTTGCTTTGTAAGCGTCCAGACTTCTGCTCCATATAGTAGAACTGGTTGTATTATTACTTTATACATATTTATTTTAGTTCTTCTGGTCAGGAGTCTACTTCTAAATAATTTTGTTAGACTCCTATAGCACCGTTGAGCTCCTGCTAATCTACATTGGATTTCGTCGTCTTGTCTGCTTTCACTTGTTATTGTCACTCCCAGATATTTAAAATTGTCAGTTTTTGTGAATTTACAATTCAAGACTTCCAAGTATGGTTGGTTATCAGGTTGTCTACTTATCTTCATTACCTTAGTTTTCTCTTAATTTATTTTTAGTCCCACTTTTTGTGTTTCAGTGATTAGCTTTTCTGCTAGCTCCTTAATATCTCTTTTATTTTCTGCTATTAGTGCCACATCGTCTGCAAATGCTAGAACGTTTGTCTTCCCATCCAAAACTACACATTTTTAATACAACATCGATAATTTACACATTGACTGTTTACAGTTGACAACATATGTTCTTCTTCAGGCATTTGACAGTTCTGGTTATGTTTACATTTAAATGTCAAAGCAAATATAAAACATTGGGCGCGTTCTGGGAACATGTACCGGTGCACCGGTGCAGATTAACCGGTGACTTACTCACCGGTACCGCCCCGGGGCAAGAGTCTTGGTATCCCAGAACGGTTATGCACCGGTTTACGGTACACATTGGATTATAATTTACACATCCACCTACTATTTGCTTTATAATATTTAAATCAAGCAAACAGACTTGCTCTCACGTAGTAAATTATTTGAAAATTATTCGTTTATTACGTAATATCAAATTGAGCAAATTTTCACTCATTATGCAACATAACCTATTAAACTAATGAACATTATTCGGAGGACCCGCCATCTTGCCGTAGCTGCAAGCTGTTGTCAAAGAAACTGACCAATCAGAGGCCGCCGGTGTATTATGCACCGTACAATTTCTCCGGTGCATAAATCTTGCACCGGTGGAGAAAAAAAGAGGAAATAGCTGTCTGCTAGGTTAACTCACCGGTCTCCCAGAACGACACATTTTTTGGACCGGTGCGGCACCGGTGCACCGGTACATGTTCCCAGAACACGCTCATTGTGAATTTTCTCATGCTTCCATGGAGACCAATTTTAATATTTAATTTATGACAACAGCTGGAGTTTCAAAACAATATTTGTTTCCCATGTTTTGGAGAAATATGAAACTTTAAAGGGCCCCAAGGCCTCGCTCTCTAATTATTTACCTAAAAATAAAGTTTCCTGCACAGCTTCACGTTACGCTCTTTCCCATGACACCAAAAACATGTCAATCGGTTCAGTTGTTTTGGAAGAGTAATTGTCACAAAAATCCTGCTTGCGTATTAAATAAGTATAGTTATGCTAAAATTAGCCTTTTTTTACGCTATTTTGAGACAATAACAAAACAAATCTAGCTTGACAATTTAGCATTTATAAAGTGGTTTTATGTCTAGGCCAGGTCAGGTTGTATAGTTTTTCAATAGACATTTAACTTTCTTGTCTTCTTGCCAACTTTTCACATCCATTTATAACACCCGAAATATATGGTTAACTATTTAAATCCCGCCAAGTCACCAATGGATTTTATCTAAGTGATATTGCCGCAACCCCTAGGTCTAGCCTAAAGTAATGTGGAAAACAATTCCGGGCTCATGCCTAGCGTCCTAGGACAAAAAAAAAAAAAAAAACAAAACAAAAAACTACTATTGGAATTTTTATTTTATTGAAGAATAACTCAGAAACTAATGAAAATCTGATAACGTGTCAAACAATGTCATACAAAATCTGTAAACTATCAACTTACTCATCTTTTTTCATACTAATAACATTTTTCTGGGATCTCATTTTTTATACCTTTTTTTCCTGGCTTCTAGGGGGGGGGGGAAGGCAGCTGCCCCCCTGCCCCTCTCTGGGTACGCCCATGATTAGAAATACTATGGAACCTCTAAGAACTATGTGGAAACTGGAAATAATAATTTATGCTACCTCTTCTACATGTAATCTAAACTTTCCAACAAAAAAAGATATGTAATTTAATTTTTGAAAGTTTTGAACCCAGAGAAAGTGTACCTAAAGGAAATTTAATCTGGTATTTATTCCATGGGAAGTTGAGTAAGCGGTCAAACAAGAAGCCACATGCAATTATTACTGGGGCAATGATTGTATTGCTTGGACAGCCCATTTAAGGCAATTGCTAATATATACTATTAAATTTAGTCTAAAAGACCACAAAACCCTTCCTTTCTACTTTGCTGAATACATATTTTAGAAGTACCATTTTCACATTTAGAGCACAAGCAAAATACTAGTAATAATTAAACTTTGAAATTTACACATTCATTTATTTTTAGGAATGATTGCTACTTTTGATTCATCCAAAGACTTACCTTAAACTCGCTTTCGGTGATGTAGAATTCGAGGTAGAACGGCTGACCTCGACGGAATGGAAACTTTTGAATATCCTGTAATCCCTCCTCCTTGCCAAATTTGCCTGCCAGGCGGGTGTTACGAGCTGTGTACTGCGAAGAATTTGGATCACACCTTACATCAAAGTGGAGTGCAATATCAGTCTTGTCTTTGTGTTTTTGAGATTCAGTCAAGAAGTTTACTGTAAACCTGAAATGACCAGAGATTAGTTTGTCTAGTGCCTGTTTATTCATTCAGGCAAACTTAGTGAAATATTAATTAGGGTTCTTTTTATTAAGACTTTAAAATCTTCTTTTACTGCATTAGGACAACATTAAACAACGAACATAAATAAAACGTATAAACTCCAATAACATTCATAACATCAATTCATAACATTCAGGGAGTATTGCATCCACAGTGCATGCCTGATACTGCCTATATGTGGGTCCGTGAGCGCGATAGCTTGAGTTTTGTTGTCAGATTTTATTGAAATTAGTTGAAGGTGTTGAGGTGAAATAAACTTAAATGAGTTTGCAAGATCGGACATGGGAATGGGGTATTAGGAGGTTTTTAAAATTTGTGTCAATTCATTTAGTTTAAAACATTGGAATGTCCACTTTTCATTGCAGCCATTGTGTAGAGCTTACAAAAACAAACTATTTTGTATTTTGGAAGTGTTGTTGTACCCTACAATGAAAGGTAACGGAGAAAATTGTAAAAAACTGTGCATTTTAATTTCCATCTTAATCTTATGGAGAGAACAAAAACTGTTGTAAATCTACACGATAAAGGTTGTTGACAAGCGAATAGGAGAAAGTATGAGTCTGATTGCTGGTTTCTACGCCAGTGGGATTTTGTACTAGTTAGTATTCAGTAAAAACGCTTTTAAGGGAGAACGGTTCAAACCCATAGTAAATGTTAAAGGGATGTGCCAGGAAGTGAGGCCGTTCCTCCAACACCGAAGTCCAAGACTCTAATCACTTTGCTAGTAACACACCCAATGTTATTTAAATGTAAAAAACTGAAAAACATGTGAAAACCAGCTAAGTACAGATTTAAACGCAAGCACCATATAACTACTGAGCTTCTCAGACAATCAAGTCAATCAATAATGATATTTCTAATATTTCACCTTGGGCAAAGTGACAAAGTAATTAGGTACCGGTAGGTCTACTGATTACTTTGATATTGAAATTGTGTATACCGTGAATACTGCTTTAAAGTCGATCTTACCTTCTGGCATTATCATTCACCACCCCTTCAACTATAATAGAAGACTGGGTTTGAAGATGATGCGTCAGTTTATATACCGCAGCTATTCCCTAAAAACAAATATTATTATAAACAGATTCCTTTACTTAGACAGTAAAACATTAACAACAATATTGTTGATAGCATGAAATCCATAAAGTGCTACTATTCTATTTCTTTAGTATTTATTTTCAAGATTACATCACTGAACATGACAATTGTTCAAGTTATTGAGGTCCTATTGTATAGGACATAAAAATGACATAGGCAAAGCTTAAACAAATTAGACAATTTATTTTTATCCGTTGTCAACGGGTTAAACAGGTTAAATGATTTTGTATACTATGAATAAATTACACAAAAATTTTTAATATTTCTACCTACGACCGTTCTCAAAACTAGCTGTTTCAGTAGTTCAGGTCTTAGAATTGAAAAGATTCACTTAACAGCATAGTTGTTGTTTTTTTTTTTTTTTTACTTAACAACACAAGTATAATGGACCACACAATGTTCAAGAGGATTGAGAGTTAAGTAAAATTTGTAATGCTTTGAACTTCAACTAATCAGTTGTTTAGACCAATATAATTGTTTATGAGTGGTGGAATTAGTGTTTTGTACAATGATTTGTTGCACTGCGGTCAGTGGCAATGAGAGTTGATCACAATTTTGTCGTGATCATAGACTTAATTCAGATTTCCAGGGGATATTTCAAAATTCCCGCATTATTCCCGGTTCTCCCTGGCTGACATCGCGGGAGACGATGATATTGTTTCCTTTTTCACTGAGCGGTAAACAGTATTTTGCCACGACCACTTAGGACAGTTATTATGGTTCAGTGACTGAGAAAGATATTCACGATTTGGCAGTGATTGTGGAAGACGATGAAGATGTCCCCTGGACTGTGGGAGATGATCAGCATATTACCTCGGGCTCCAACATGTTGTGACATCCAACATCTGCCTGTCTTCTTTCCACTGGCTCAGCCTAAAATTAAAATTAATTGATCAAACAAAAACTAGGTTAATATTAATTGTTTTAGAATAGAGAAAAATACTCTTATTCTTAGCCTGACCATAGACGAATTGTTGTTATATATTTCATACTGAAAAGATAATACAAATATTGGACAGTTGTTGTCACATTATATTATAGCTTATTTTACTCACATGCTCCCAGAATCCTCCCAGCTGAACTTCTCTGTGTTTGAAATTTTGTTTTATGTATTTTTTATCTGGCCATAAAATGAGCTAAGGTATATTTAATAAGCTCAAGGGATCAAAATTTTAGTAAACCAGCCAATAACTTTAAAGACGGTGACACACTATCGATCTTTTCCCCGATCAAGACCCCGAACCGAGCAGGGAGAAGGGAGAAGGGAGATAAATATCAGCAAAATTTTACTCCGAACATTTCCCCGAACATGACCAAGACCAGACGAATTCTACCGAGCGCGGCAAAAGGAAGTTTGGAGAGGGATAGAGAGTGTGTGCGAGTGAGAGCGTGGAGGCAGTGCCGTGGAAGAGGGAGGGGGTGCATTGCCTTTAATAATATTGTTTATATTATTTTTGAAAGAATTTAAGTCAACATCAATTAATTCAACCTTAATATTATTGATATAATTGATTTAACGGTTTCTACACTTTCAACCTTGACCAAACAAACCACAAACATTACATCTTAAATGATTATAATATATAACGGCAACATATTACCCAACATTTATTTATTTTACCAATTAAAGAGTTTAATTGCCATATTAAATCAGAACTATCAATGCTAGCGCAGGCGGCCGCTCGGTGCGGCGCTCGCGACGATGTACGGGGCAAAAATGTACCGTGACACACTATCGTACATCGGACCGTACATCGGACCGATCTTTTCTTTGATCTTTCGCCAAAAAACCGCCTCCAGAGCGCTCGTCTCCCTGCTCGGCCTGATGTCTTGTTCGGCATCTTGATCGGTGTACGGACCCGTGACACACTATCGAACATCCTCCCTTCGACCTCCCTTCTCCCTTCTCCCTGCTCGGTTCGGGGTCTTGTTCGGGGAAAAGATCGATAGTGTGTCACCGTCTTAACTCTAGATCAGTAGACACTCACACAATTACATGAACCATCCACTCTGTGTGGCTATACATAATGTTCCTTCCCAGAAACACTTTTAAATACATTATTTCACATATCGAATGAACTATCCATACCTAGCCCACTCTTAAGATATCTAGCCTCACAAGGGTTTGAAGGGAAAACGTTTCCTTTGTGAACTCAACAGCATCGTAACACCTTCAAACTAATTTGCCTCCTCCATCCAATCTCACACAACATCAGTTTCTCCTGTGAGTGCTAGATCAGATTTGGGATGGACTCCTATCTGACTCTTCCAACATTTCTCTGTCTTTGATCATTGGCTGCCCAACCATAATAAATGGTTGTCTATTTGATGAATTTTCTTTCTTATTTTTTTACAACGTTCATATTACACCCAATATTCTTTACAGTATGTTCAGTGTCTTTGTTACTAACATTTAATTGGAACCAGTGGATGTATTTTAAATCAGCAGAGTTTGAATTGAAACGCAATGCAGTGTAGCAGCTTTCCATAATACCTCAGTAAATCAATGATTTTTTAAATAAAAATAGCATCAATTAGCCTATTTACAAGAATATGCTTCAAACCAAATCAAGACCTGTTTTACTGCTTTTGTACTGAAATTTGGCTAGCAAAAATCCCAAGGGAATTATTATACAGAATCAAGGAACTACTTATAACAGTTTGTGCAATTAATTAGACTAGTGTCCCTGTTGCTCGAATTCGAGCAATTGCTTAGTATTACAGCTGCATTATTTTAAAACGAATAACAGACATAATTTCTGATGACTTTAAAAGATTTGACTCAAAGATTATGGAAATACTCAAGATGTACATAACAGATCGATATAATCAACATTTCTTGTATATATCTTATCATTTTTCAAAAGCTGATCTGGTTTTTTAGTGTTTTCTACAAATAGCCTTACTCATAGCCGCATTAGGTTGTCAGCTCTTTCAATGATTACTAAGAAATTCAGTGTTAATTCAGTTTTCTTTTTACTATATCAATTTATTCAGGCTCTCTTGCTTTTTTCCATTGTAATATTTACGCCAACCCAAATTCAAATAGGAAATATTTCATTTCAACCAAGTCAGTAAATGTTTGTAGCAAACTGTTAAATTAGCAAAAGTATTGACTGTTTACAAATAACATATGTTCTTCTTCTCACTTTTAATTTCTGACTATAGCTGGAGTTCATAACAATGTTTGTTTCCCATGTTATGGAGAAATACGAAAGATGTACATAACAGATAGATATAATCAACATTTCTTGTAAATATCTTATCATTTTTCAAAAGCTGATCTTGTTTTTTAGATTTTCTACAAATAGCCTTACTCATAGCCGCATTAGGTTGTCCATAAAAACTATTATAAATAAATAAAAAATATTTCTATTTCTCCTCCTTGGTGGTGTTCTATGGCTTTCCTATGTTTCCATAGTTTGTAAATCGGCTATTTCAATTATTACTAAGAAATGTAGCATAGTGTTAATTCAGTTTTCTTTTTAGTAGATCAATTTATCCAGGCTCTCTAGTTTTTTCCATCGTAATATTTACGCCAACCCAAATTCAAATAGTAACTATTTAATTTCAACCAATTAAGTAAATGTTTGTAGCAAACTAACTGTTACATCAGCAAACTTATTGAATGTTTACAATTAACATATGTTCTTCTTTTCACTTTTAATTTCTGACAACAGCTGGAGTTTAATAGCAATTTTTGTTTCCCATGTTAATCTTAAGGAGAAATACGAAACTTTAACGGGACCCAGGGCCTCACCCTCTAATTATTTCCCTAAAAAGAAAGTTTCCTGCACAACTTCACGCTACGCTCTTTCCAATGACACCAAGAACATGTAAATCGGTTAAGTAGTTTCGGAGGAGTAATTGTCACAAAAAACCTGCTTGCGTATTAAATAAGTATAGATGCGCTATAGATTTTGTATTTTATTAAACCTATTAGCTACATAGACATTAAGTGAGTTCTTCTGTATACTTACAAGGGACATCCTTATATATAATACGTGAAGGCGATTTCTACGAAACACTACTCCTCCGTTAATAATGGATGGATTTTTACAAACTATGTGTCAAAATTAAGTATTTTTTGTGTAGACACCCCCTTTCACCAATTCCTGTAATAAAAGTCCTCGGGCTTTGCCCCACAGACCATCAAAATCCCAATGTATTGCTTATGAAGAGAAGATGTTGTTTACTTAAACAGACGAATATATGTATTAATTACAGCTGTTCATAGTAAACACATACGTACAAGAGCGTTCGTTTTCAGTTTCGACAACTGGAGTGGAGTGATTGATTATATTATCTTTAAGTTTACTCTTTTAAGTCATAATTTAAGGAAATAATTATGACTGCTATTCGTTTTGAAATTTACACCTGTAATACTTTGCGATTGCTCGAATTCGAGCAACAGGCGCACTAGTCTTACTTGATTACTTGATACTTACCTTCTTTCTTTTACACATAGTTTGTCCTGGTGCCAAAGCCTGTAAACAATCAAACACTTAGTTAATTGTTCTACGAAAACAGAAAAATAATGTACAATATCAATGGGTTAATATTTTTGTGAAATCCTAATCCAGTTCTTCATAGAAGAACGTTAATGAAAAGTGCAAATAAGAATCAAACTTTCACTTCAGAGAGACATTTTTTGTACAAAATAGGAGTAATGTTCTCTAAGTGTATAGAGAGTTCTGATAACAGACGATTCTTGGAAAGCTGTGTTCTGAAAGTTTCCAATTTATACATGTATTTTCAATAATTGTGTAATTTGATAACGTACAAGTTTCATCGTGAAAAACTTAAAAAAAGTGGTAAATATTTTTCAGTCAAAACAATCTCTTCTTAAAATGTAAAATGTTAGCTAAAGAAACAGATGATCTAAAGTCATCAGCTGGAATGCAGGTTATCTAAATCACGGGTCACACTAGGCTGGCATCAGCGGCGAATTGAAAGAAGCCGCGACTGTCAGCTTAATGTGACCACAAAATTCACCGGTGACACTGAGCTGACTCAGCCTGGATTGGTGAGCCGGTGATGCTGGTGCCAGCTGCTGATCACCAGCGGATGGCGAACAGCCTAGTGTGACCCGTGCTTAACCTATTTTCTACACTCATCTTGCATTTACATTCAATTTTAAATAACACATTGTTTCGGTCTTATACTTAAGGTAGTGCCTTTTGTACTCCATAATCATGAGCAAAAAAGCAAAATAAAATAAACAACAAAACAAAACCGCAAAATCTCAATCAAAGAGTCATCTTAAAGTAATGTTTATTAGAGCGGAGGCTGGTCTATACGCCCCCTCCCCCCACTGTGGGAATTTTTGAAATATACATTTTTGTGCTCGTATTGACATGTACTAAAAATATCATGATAGTTAGTTAGAATCTATTATATTATTAAAGTGATACAATCAAATTTTATGTAAACGGTTAAGGTCATTTACCAAATAAAAATATAGGCATATGTCACATCAAAATGAAGCTTAGAGTGTGTACATTTGTCGAAAAGTATTGATATGGACGAATTTCCTAAGGGCTCTGCCCCACAGGCTGATTTCCAAAGGGCTACGCCTGGCATACTTCCAAAGTTTACATGATTTAATTTAATTTAGTTAATGAAACAGCTGGTCAGTACAACGAACTGGTGTTTGTTTATTTACTCAAAAAAGATGTTTGTGATGCTATATGTAGATTTAGGAGGGTTATGTTTGGTTTTAAAGAAAGGTTGTATACGTTTTGTAAAGTATTGCTCAAAGTTTCATTTTTTAATTTATATAGTAAGCTACATATGAAGAAAAGAGGCTTGACTATTGAAGAATTATGGTAAAACATGTCATTCATGAATCATCAATATGAAGTAATTGATGCTATTGCTACATTAAGGTATGTTGTCATATTCTTATGGATCTATTAACATCAAAAGTAGGGGTTTGAAAGTAAATAGGTTTACGCTTTTAAATCAGTTTATATTTTCAAACTAAATCATAGAGTTGCCGTTTTTAAAAACACACATCAGAATTACTTTAATAGCTCTCTAGGTCACATTTTTATCCCGTTGCAAAGCACGGGTATAGCAGCTTGTATATATATATTTTAAAAATATTGTTTTTCTTTTCAGAGTTTGTTTGGCTCTTCTTCTACACGACCGATTTTCATGATTGAGGTCTCAAATTGAAGGTATTAACGCACAGATTTCACATCAAGCATCTGCATATACGAGTATTTGTCTACAGTTCCACTCGGCTTATTTGTAAACAAAATTTGCTCCCCATTTATTTTTTATGTGAGTTAAATTTGATTTTTCTTTTCCGAGTTTGTTTGGTGCTTCTATCCGACCTATTTTCATGATTGAGGTCTCAAATTGAAGGTATGTACGCACAGATTCCACATCAGCAACTTAAAATGTATACCCTTATACAATAAATAAAATTAAAGGAAAAATATTTAACCGCCAGCTAGAAATTCACGGACGCTGTTGCAACATCTCGAAAGCAACATGGACTTAAGTTTTCACTTGAATCTTAGGTGGTCTTTCTCTAACTTAAGATCAATGAGAAGACTATTGAAAAGTTGAATTCCTTTTTACAAGAGGTGACGTTTAAAATATGACGTAGAGTGTTTGGGAATTTTACAGTTGATCGTGGAGCGCAGGGGTTAATGTAGGAATGAGAGTCGACATGAAACTTGGAATGGTTTTGCCTGACAATGACAGCGTCTCAAGGTTGTAGATGGAGGGAAAGGTTAAAATTCCAGATTAGCTGAAAACCTCCTTGCAAGAATGGCGACGTGGGAGAGAGAAAATGGTTCTTACTGCGTTCTTCTGAAGAGATTATTTGATATGATTTGTTTTGATTAGTTGATTGCGTAGGACAGGCCCACAGTTAGTTAGCATTGGAAAATGAAAGTATGGTGAAGTCTTCAGATTGTTCTCACTGAGACATGCAAACACATAAAATGAAACAAAGTGAGCAAATTTTGCAAGTACTGTACTTGACACTTTTGAACAATACATTAATGCCCTTGAAGTTGAAAACTGTGATCAGAATTTCTAGATGGTGTGTTTATCATCTGGAAGACCTGTCCCCGAATCAGTAGAAGGCAATTTACTCAATGTAGATAATCTAGGGAAAGCTGCCTATTAGTTGAGATAAGAGCTGAAAGAAATATTTAGGTACTGGAGTTTGACTGCTATCCCAGGAACGTGATATTAGCCTTGAGAAGCTGATGGCATACCCATTTGATCCAGTACCATGGGCATTAGCCACTGCCGATGGATGTAAAAACAAAAACAGAAAAGGCCAAACTTCTCTATGTTTTGGAGAGCCAGGGTATAGTAGATTGAACTTCCCAAGATAGAAGAATGTATGTATGTAATTGGCGGTATGGCTTACTTTAAGATTCTTACTCCAGAAACCTCTGGTGAACTAGCAGAGATTGTCTTGAGCCGCTTTCCAAAATTCCAGCAAGATAGAGTTTATTATGGATACCTATTTACATGTAGGCTATCTATTAAAAACATTGAAAGAGAGAGAAGGGGATATGGAGATACGTTTTTAAATGAGAGGTCCTAAAACCAAGATCTCATGGGATTGGAAAAAAATCCCTAGCTAATGGCAATAACAAGGAACAACTGATTAACTGCTACATAATGAATGGGCTCAGCACAAATATGCATATATTCAAACGAGCTTTGATGCACGTTTCTATAGGGTAATGTAACGTAAAGTACTTTTTGGTGATATTTTTAAATTCATCCCCCACCCCCAAACAGGGCTGCTGAGGGTAACTTAAAAATGTTTAAATGACAACCCATATCAAGTGTAGCACATAATTTTAAAGAGCTTTAAAAAAGAATAATAATGTCACAAATCCAATTTTGATACGACAAATTTTCCAAAAGTTATGACAAGAAGTTTTAGACGTTAAACCTTACATTCTAGTTAAATTAACGTCTAAAATTTCATTTATTAAAATGGAATCTATTAAAATCTCTTTCCAAGAAAGTATTTGTTAAACCTAATGTTATTTAAATAGATTGAATTGAAAATCAATTCAGGCCAGTATTGGGCCATCAACCTTCTGGCTAGTAGGTTACAGCAAGCTACGCTAAAAAGTTTTAACTTTTCAATCATCAAGTTTCTTTTAAATAAATTAAACACCAGATTAACAAAAAATAAAGAGTTTTGATAAAGATTTCGTATAAAGAAACAATAACCAACCACAATCTAATTACAGAAAAATGTCACCAACATTTTACAAGAGCAGATTTATAACCCTGCTAAACAATATTAAAAAATCATAAACCTTACCTTCAACATGTTTGTATTAGAATCTAAAGGCTCAAGTTGATCAACGCCGTCAACTGGTCCACCATGTAATCTCTCCTTAATGAGCAGAAGCTTTTCTTTTAGACCTATGATCATTCCTTGAATTTGTTCTGGATTACGAAAATTATTCTCATCCGTGCCCAGTAATGGACCATGCCCATCTTCAATAGAAGGTCCCATTCCTTCAACGGGATATGTAACTTTTACAATTCTTCTCTTGAACCAGACACCAGGCTTAAGTGGCATTTGGTAACTTTGAGCCTGAAAAAGTATAGTTAAATTTTACAGTAAAATCTTTGAATCTTATATTTGAACAGTATGAATTTATTGAGCGGAAGGAAGCAAAGCTCTTTATGATCAGCTTCAATACAAACTTTCTAACACTTACACTCAATAACGGCTGAACATATTTCAGTCAAACTTACCAAGGTTGTTTCAACAAATGTTTGGAAGGTTTGAGATGAAACAATGTCAATTTTTGATAATGCCTATCTTATATAGGCTATTAAAAAAAACTTGGTTCTTCTACCCGACCGATTTCCATGATTGAGGTCTCAAATTAAAGGTATGCACGCACAGATTCGCCATCAAGCATCGGCATATAATTATCTATAGTATCACTCGGTTTATACGTAAACGAAATTTGCTCCCCATGTATTTCTTATGGGAGTTCAATTTGGTTTCTCTTTGCCGAGTTCGTTTGGCTCTTCTACCCGACCGATTTTCATGATTGAGGTCTCAAATTGAAGGTATGCATGCACAGATTAGCCATCAAGCATCGTCATATATTTATCTATAATCCCACTTGGCATATACGTAAACGAAATTTTCTCCCCATGTATTTCTCATGGAAGTTAAATTTGGTTTCTCTTTGCCGAGTTCGTTTGGCCCTTCTACCTGACCAATTTTCATGATTGAGGTCTCAAATTGAGGGTATGCATGCACAGATTAGCTATCAAGCATCGGCATATATTTATCTATAATTCCACTCGGCATATACGTAAACGAAATTTGCTCCCCATGTATTTCTTATGGGAGTAAAATTTGGTTTTTCTTTGCCGAGTTTGTTTGGTTCTTCTACCCGACCGATTTCCATGATTGAGGTCTCAAATTAAAGGTATGCACGCACAGATTGGCCATCAAGCATCGGCATATAATTATCTATAGTATCACTCGGTTTTTACGTAAACAAAATTTGCTCCCCATGTATTTCTTATGGGAGTAAAATTTGGTTTTTCTTTGCCGAGTTTGTTTGGTTCTTCTACCCGACCGATTTTCAATTTTGAGGACTCTAATTGAATGTATGCATGTACAAATTGGCCATCAAGCTTGGGCATCTATTTATCTATGATCCCACTCGGCATATACGTAAACGAAATTTGCTCCCCATGTATTTCTTATGGGAGTAAAATTTGTTTTTTTTTTTGCCGAGTTCTTTGGCTCTTCTACCCGACCGATTTTCATGATTGACGTCTCGAATTGAAGGTATGTAAGCACAGATTTGCCATCAAGCATCGGCATATAATTATCTATAATCCCACTCGGTGTATACGTAAACGAAATTCACTCCCCATGTATTTCTTATGGGAGTAAAGAGTAAAATTTGGTTTTTCTTTGCCGAGTTCGTTTGGCTCTTCTACTCGACCGATTTTCATGTGTGAGGTCTCTAGTTGAAGGTATGCATGTAGGCCTACAGATTTGCCATCAAGCTTGGGCATCTATTTATCTATGATCCCACTCGGCATATACGTAAACGAAATTTGCTCCCCATGTATTTCTCATGGAAGTTAAATTTGGTTTTTCTTTGCCGAGTTCGTTTGGTTCTTCTACCCAACCGATTTTCATGATTGATGTCTCGAATTGAAGGAATGTACGAACAGATTTGCCATCAAGCATCGGCATATATTTATCTAGTATAATCCCACTAGGCTTCCACGTTAACAAAATTTTCCACCCATGTATTTCTTAGGTGAGTTTAATTTGGTTTTTTACCCGAGTTCGTTTGGATCTTCTACCCGACCGATTTTTATGATTGAGGTCTCAAATTGAAGGTATGCACGCCAAGTTTTCTAATAAAGCATCAGCAAATATTTACCTACTGTATTACTCAACCAAAACACATCATTTGATTTATTTTCTAATTCTTACTTCAATTTAATATGGCTTTCATCTATAAGCTATTTATTCAAATTTCAAATTATTTATTTATTATTATTTTATTTATTCAAATCAATCAAATTGTACGATTATTTCTCGGATATTATATTTTTTTTAATGCCGAAGAGCAGCACGGGTCCTATAGACTCAAAATAATCAGTAAATTATAGGCTTTAATTTGAGCTATCGATCGGTTGAATCAGCTCAAGATACTGTATTACTCAATCAAAAATCATAAATTTAATTATTTCTCGGATATTGTATTTATTTTAAAGCTGCAGAGCAGCATGAGTCCTCTCGTATAATATAAAAGTAACTTAAAGTTTAAAATTTTTAGCATTGGCCTTATGGGTTGCCATGATGGTTACAAAATAACGACGTAAATGTACACAAAGATACATAGCCATAGCATATTATAGCATCATAGCATATTTTTAAAATGAAGCAAATAAACAACCTAAACACAGTACGAATGAAAACGTTTTCTGATGATGACAAAAAAAAAATGTTATTTGATCATACTGATAACATTTTAAAGGTACAGAAAAGTATACATTTTTATTGTTGTGTTGTTAAAAAACGTGTCCTTACCTTTTGTGGTTGATTAACCATGGCCATTGTTTGCTGTAAACACACAGGTAAAAAAATTAGACTTTATTAATTCAAAACTAGTACTTTTATAAATTAAATAGATAGTTTTTGTTTTTTTTATCTTATTGGTCAAAATCTTTTGGGAATTGGCTGAGTATTCAGGTTTGCTATGATTTACACATGTATTCATTTTTAACAAAAACTATCTATTTTACAAAAGTTTGGCAAAAGGTAACAGCTAACATTAAAATAAAGTTTTATAATAGAAAATAACAATACATTTTATTTTTTTATGTTACAGGTTTTATTTAAGGTACCTATTTTGGAAGTAATAGCATGAGCAAGTCCTAAAATGTCACCAAGTGTGTACTTTAAGCGCTTAAAAAATAGGTAACAACTTCCTATCAGATTTGGGATCCAAGACAGACCAAAATATACTTGCATAGTCAAATTTCACAGGAAATAAATTTCCTCCACTGAACCCCCCCTAAATTTTGATTTTATTTAACCCCATCTTATTGCACATCTTCACCATACAGGGACCCCCAAACCAAATTTGATTATTATTCTAGGTTGTATATTTTGTGAGATGTAGTGATCATCTGTCAGTCAGTTGTATTTGCCTTTTATACCGATGTCATGATTGCTACAATAGTTGTAAAATAGTTTAGATTTACAGGGACTAATGTTTATTAATTGAACTCAATTGTAAAAAAATCAAAAACATTGCAATTATTATAAAGCAAAAACCAGTAAACCTAATTTTGGGCTGAATATACTTAAGGTGCGTTTTCCTCCAACTTCAGTAACCGCGCTGCGTGCTACGCGATTAATCCAAAGAACGCTGCGTGGCCAGGAACAGCGTGATTAAAATTTTACGCTGCGCAAAAGTGTTTTCCTAGAAATCCAGCAATGCGTTGCGTAACAAGCAGATTCGTGGTTTCCACAGTAGCGTTCTGCTATGGATCGGAGAAAAGTATGATGAAAGTATGTGATTTTTAGTTATATGTGACTCTATTCTGATACTGCTATGTATTTATACGAATAAAGTTTATTTTGAGTTTGACTTTGACTTAGATCTAGGAGCCATGAGGGTGCTTTTAGTACTCTTATTAATAGGCACCTGATAGACAATGAAGTCAAATTTAGGGAAACTTTTTAATTTAAGTAAAGTCGATTGCGGTAATTTTGTTGGCCTATCCCACTCCAAAGCTTGTCCTTCTTCAAGTTGTTTTTAAAATCAGGATGGCTCATTTTCCACAGAATTTCAAACTCGGACACACAGTCAATTAATAAACTGTCATAATCAACAGTGAACTTGGTAACATCACTACAACTTATCGTTTTCTCCATATTTCCAATGTAAACAATGGCCCAGTTCGGCAGCGTGGTTCGCAACTGACTGCTCTCGAGGCAGTGGTCCCAATCACGCTGCGCGCTGCGCACTGCGCAGTTTGTGGTTAGTCGCGCACCGCGCCGCTAGGAAAACAGTCTCATTAGTTTAAAGGGGATCGGTGGTTCCGGCAACCGCGGAGCACGAAGCACGCAGCGTAACAGGCTTAATCGCGTCGCTAGGAAAACGCCGCTTTAGTGTGTTGAAAGAATTTTCACTACCAAAACTTAAAATTCAAAGATGTTTCAAGTTTTCCGGCTTTCCTTCACTTTGAGTATTTTACTATGTTAATGCTATAGGACTACTATTTGATTCAGTAAATAAAATGAAAATGAAGATGTTTTGAAATTGAACATATTGTAGTTAACTTACTTTGGCAACGTTTAAAGTGTCCTGTACCGGAGTCACCCACTCGTCACATCTGTCCTGTTACAGGTTAATCATATAAAATTAAATTATCATATTAAATTGATTATTCATATTAAACAGGCTTTTACACAAAATATGGAATAATAAAGGAGATACAGAAATTTGTGTAATGGAAATCTCAGAGTAAAAAAAAAAAAAAACGCAACTTTGTCTTTTAAAACTCATTTGACAGAAATTCTCTTATTTCCGCCAATATTTTTATAGTGACTTCTCCAAAAATGTTGCTCTTTCAAAATGTCTAGGGCCTTATGAGTAATGGCCTTTTTTGTAATATCTTCAACCAATTTGGAACATGATTTAATTTTTTTTACTATTATTAAAGAAACCATAATTAAAAGTAGTGGGAGATGCTGTTTAATGACAAAACGAGCTTATTTAATGTTCAAATCCCTGGTTTCCTTTTCACAAGCTCAAAAATAGAGTATGGTATGTGTTGTAAGTCTATGTTTTTTCGATTTTTTCAGTATCCTTCGCTTTTTGAAAAGTCAATATTTATTATGTACTGGGATCACAACTGGAAAATTATTTTCAAACATTTCTTGACACTAAAAATATTTTTTAAGGGAGAGAAAGCAGAAATGATAGGATGAGCAGGCTTACCTTAAGAAATGTAGGCATCCCACTTCACTACAGTAATACAGAAGAGACCAGTGAAAGACTCCAAATATCTGTGACTCTCCATATTGACCATATTGGCATATTGAGAAAGGTACCAGTGGCCTTGAAATATCCAGTGTTTATTTTGGGTTTTCTTCTTTGTTTCTTTGTAGTGAAGTTGTATGCCCACATTTCTTAAGGTAAGAATGCTTATCCTATCCTTTCGCTCCCTTATTCTCAGGCAATAAGCTCTTTCTCTTCAAACCATTTTTAAGTTTAACACTTATAAAACTAGGTCTGACAGACCCACGGGAATTTTCACAAACGCATGTTGGCAACACTGTTTACTTGGGGGATTCCCCCAATACCTTCCCCCATTTTCCTCCCCTACCTCTGTTGATATATTGTTTGTTCATTTTTCGTGGGTGCTGTGACCTTGACAGGTACAGTACATAACATGCCCAGCTCAGAAAGCCCAGCGTTAGTGTATTTTAAAGCAGGGTCTCACAGGCCTAGGGTTTCAGTTTTTGTTTTTTTTTAAGCTGGGTCCATTATTTTCAAATGGGGTCTCACAGACCGGGGGTTTCGGTTAGCGTCAGCCTGGGCAAGGTTTCGGTATTAGTGTTTAAGTATTCTCCATACTATCTACTCTTAGGGTCTTGTGAAAACACCATATTGGGTTTTTTTTTTACAATAACTTCCCAAAAACATCAAACCTCATTGATACAGTGATAATAATACAATATATTGCTATATTAGGGTGATAATTATTGGTATGGTAAATAATAAAAAATATGTCAAAGCACATAAAAATGTGTTTGCTTTTTCATTAAAAAGTGTCTGTAGAGTGTTTGTGTGTATTATTGAAACATTAAGAGAGAAAAATGAATAAGCCATGTCACATATAATATAACCCCTACTATAGCTCGGCCGCTTAGAAAACAACCTCCTCCAGCATTGGTTTAGCATTAGCGCGCAGGTCGTTTTCTAAGCGGCTGAACTATAGTAGCCTAGGGGTTAACAAGAAGAACAGAATGGAATGATGTTTATTTTACAATATTATGAATTATTTACGTAGATCAGCTGTTGTTAATATTAAATGTATATAGGCTGGTAGAAATAAAGATTAACTAAAAGTTAAAAGAACTGAAAATACTCGCGACCTTGAAGTGTCCTCACTTCAACAAACACAGAGCAATACACATTAACACAAAGTTTTGTTGTAAGTTAGCTATAGCAGCTGGTTGTTTTTTCTACTTCTGCTTTTCAAAACTATACCATCTCTGCTGGGGTACAACCATAGGAATTAAATATAGACCGTCAGCTGTGCTGCGGTTACCATAGCTTCTGGCGCAAACCGCTGGGAGCGCCATGTAGTTACGGCGTACGCGCTACGTAAACTACAGCGGTGTGCGCCGGAACCTATGGTAACCATGGTAACCACAGCACGGCTGACAGTCTATATTTAATTCTTTTTGTCTATGGTACAACATAACAACTGTTAATTGAGAGCACTGAAGACCAAACTTGTTGAAATGGTGATGATCAGAGTTTTGAAGGATCTTTGGTGTTTCATGATGAGATTGAGGAACAGAAGTTGGTCATTCTTGAGAGTTTGAGACCCATTTCCTCAACTCAAAGCATCTTAGTTTCATTAGTTCAATGAGTTGAGATTGAAGAGTGAGCACTTCTTCTGTAATTTGTGATGAAGAGTAGCCATTAATCAGAGCTTCTTCATTGGAAGATACAACCCACTTGACTGGATTGCTTGACTGTCTTTAGTTTTGCTGTGGTTGCACTGTAGGTTGGGTTTAACAGCACTGTCTGTCGGTTGGACACCAACCCGGTCGGTAGGATGGGTGACAAACATTATCGGTAGGATGGATAACAGCACTGTCACTTGTCAAGGTAGTTGAGCTCACTGTGGTATTTCTTATGTATTTTGTTCCAGGTTGTATGAGCTGGATGCCTTTGATTTGAAACTCACTTGATGAGTTCGGTTTGGTTACATTTCCTGCAGTAGTTCTCTTGAGGTTGAGCTGGACTGACGCGCTAGGATGGGCGCTGCCCATCTTTAGGCGGGAATGGGTTAAGGTCTTGAGTTGCAGTGTTTCTTATTTTCTTTAAACGAGTTTTAATTAAATACGTTTGTTGTGTACATGTTTTCACTGTAAATTCACTTTTTGGAGGTGCCATTTTACAATATTAATTAAATGATGTAGGGTGTTTGTGTGTATTAATGAAAAATTAAGAGAGAAAATAAGAAAATGAGTAAGGCACGTGTTTATTGATGTGTATTGTAAATAATGCTTCTTTTTACAATATTATGAATTGATTAACACAATGATCATAGGTAGCTGTTGTTATTAATTTGAACAGGCCAAAGAAAATATTAGCTAAGATAAAAGAACTGAACATTGTCAATCAGTACTTTTTGTAATTTGGGTTGAGTTAAAAAAAGCACCCTGTATTATTCACCTTAATCTAGGTATTATTCATCTTAATGTAAATATTATTAATACATGAGTGGACTTACCATGTCAAGTAAATATTCTGTGGATTTTGTATTACACTGCAACATGAAAAAATAAATAAAATAATAATACAAAAAAATCAAATAACCTAATTAAGTTTGATACAAACAAAACTATTAAAAAACATATAATTGTACGTATTGCCCCTACCTACTTGCCTATAGTTTGTTTGTCCTTGAGTGTGTTATGTATGTCAGAAAAAATAAAGCCAATTTTACAACATATGAACAATTGAACAACACCAGAAAAAAAAACAAAAACATAAGTCTTACCTTTTCACAATTCTAAGCTATTTAAAAATAAACTATCCTATGCCGGTTTTGTATTTTTATAAACATATTCCAAAAGAAATATTGAATATAGAAAATCAAAACAAGTTCAAAAGTGAACTCAACAGTTTTTTTTATCAGAAATGCATTTTACTCTTTTGCTGATGCTACATAACTGTCAATAAAAACCTGAACAACCCGATGCAATGTCCTTAGTTGGATTAAGGAACTGTGGCGCTATTTATTGTTTTGCTGTAAATAAAACAAATAAAGACATTTTGAATTTGAATGCCACTAGTAATTTTCATTTGTGTACGTGTTTCTAAGCCAGTGGAAATTTTACCACTGCAATTTTTTAATTTATTTTTGTTTGAAAGGGAACAGTCAAAATCCCGTTATTGTTACTAGCCTATCTAACATTGGCCTGTTTGTTAGATAGCATCATTTAATTCATGTCTGAATGGCAAATGGCATCCCATAGACAATTAACATGTCTGCTTGCACATAGATTTCGAAAGTGGTTTTTGATGATATCATTCAAAATGTTGTAAATAATTTATTTCTGGCCTAAAAACGTGTTTCATACAGTTACAACTGCCAACAAAGTTCTAATTACAATACGTAAAATAGTTAAATTGAAAGTTAAAATGGTTTACAGTGAGCCTTATGTGTTAACTTTAACTCTTGGCAACAAAAATCAAAAACATCAACAAAAGAACAGCAAACAAAATAAATAAATACGGTATAACAGCTGAATATAAAGAAACCCTAAATCAAAAGAGGTTTTTAATTTATGGCTGGAGGACACTGAGATGCTTTCCTTACAACTGGAGTTGGTACACCCGCAACGCCAAGCAATGCTAGGTCCTCCTGGTACTATTCAATAATCACCTCACACAAGTCAAATGTGGGCCTAATAACAATATTTTATTTTGTTCACTCAAAATGTATCAGTTGTATCACGAATAGTTACTAGAAAAATACCGGTATGGATCATAAACATAAACAAATGACGTTTTTGGCCCGAAAGTAAACAAAACCCCTACCGGTATACTAATAGTATTCATTATTTAATTAACATATAGTTTTGTTTACTTTCGGGCCAAAAAGTCATTTGTTTATGTTCATGATCCATACCGGGTGTTTTCTAGTATTTGTGAGCAAATATTTCTGGTGTAAATGTACGAAATGTACCATGCTTGGGTTGGGTAAACTTTAGAAATACCATTGAAAACACTTACGTTTCAATTGAGATAAAACACCAAGATGGCAATGATGACTTAGATTTTGAACTCTTTCTTGATAATTCTTGTAGATCTTGTGGAACAACTCTATAATACTTGGATTTTAAACCTTGTTTGTTATTTATGCACTGTATTGATGAAATGTTGTGCTTATGTACTCCTTTATTGAGAAATCATATGGTAGAATACAACTGGAAAAAGTCAAACCATAGATCATAACAACTTAGTTTAAGCATTGACTTTAGATCCTGTACTACGATTAGGTAGTTTTTCTTTTTATTAGCCTATGCTATTGTAATGTAATACAGAAGTCTGTTTGGAAAGTTATTTTAGTTTGGCTATTATGAAAGTAAAAACGTTTTGTCTGAAGGTTGGGATGAAATTCAAATTATGTTGAAAAGAAAGTGTAAAACTTCAACAAAGATTTGCTGAAGTCAAAACTCTTTTATTGCATTTACCGGGTAAGGTTCACGAACTCCAAAATTTACTAACTCCCAAAGTAAAATTTTAAATAAACAGAGCAATTCACAAACTCCAAATTTTAAATAAACCTTGTTTCACAAACTCCAAAAGTGAAATATATTATAGACTGCAATGAATTTAGTAGAAGGATTTGCAATAAAAATTATTTAAATTCCCCTTAGATTTATATAAATAGCTGCTGTACCCGTGCTTTGCAAGGAATACTAAAATCAGTTTCACAATCATAGACATAGATTTTGGATAAATAATCTATGATATTGATAGGCATGCACTGTGGATGCGATACTATCTGGTGTGGATTAACGTCTGCACTAGTGAGTACTACGACTATCTGCAGGAGCATCCTGATAATTAGACTCGTTAATTACAAGGCAAAAATGTGATTCGGATTCCACTATAAACTGTGGTCCCTTAGTTGCCATTGGCTAATTGGGCTATTAATTAACAGCTGTGTCTAAGGAATATGTCGGCCTTAGTCACTTATAAAACTACAAGATCGTGCCACTCATCCTACACATACTTGGTTTAAAATACCTACGTATGGTCGCCATTCCAAAGTAAAGTATTTGAATTTTACAATGAGTTTTTTATTCTGCCAGGGAGACCAATTAGCGAAAGGAACACAGAAATGAGTATGACTAGCGTGTTTATGTACATCCTGTACAATACAACATGAAACCGTGCTCTTGTGTTCTCACAGATGACTCTACACTCCAATCCTTGATTCTCATGGCTGTTGCTAATTAATGAACTATTATTGGGATGATAAAAATAAACGGTATCAGCAATCTGACACATACTTTCTCCCATAAGCTTGTCAACAACCTTTATCATGGGTAAGCAGCGGGAGTAACTATGATATTTTATAGGGAAAATCACAAAATGTTCAATAACTTTTGAATTATAATTGTTACAGCAATGGGGGGTTGCACTATTTTGTTTAGAATTATAAGGACTATAACACATATACATTTTATTTAATCAAAACTGGCTTCTTTCCTAAAACCCAATTTTTGGTTATTTAATTAGAAAATAACATAACCATAATTTTGAGGGAAATGGGATTTGTAGTTGTACCATTTTGTTCAAAAGGACTATAACAAACTAAAACTTTATCAAAATCGTTCGGGCCATTTTTGAGAAAATTCAATTTTACCGTAATTTTTTGGGTAAATTACCACTAAAAATTGAAACTAAAAAAAAATGAAAAAAAAAACTCCTGGAGATACTATGGATTAGTAACTATTACTAGTTACTACCAACATACCGAATTTCATCAAGGATATATCCACTCAAAACTCAAACTTGAAAAAAAAAACAAAAAAACAATACTTTCTCCATATTACTATTTATAGGGGAAGAAAGTAAAAAGACATACAAAAGACATAACATTTATGTTTAGTTTTCTTTCACACTTATAAATAATATACAATCTAAAATTTAAATTCCTTATACTTCTTGGCTTGTTTATTTTCTTGTGATTGTTGCTTCTTCCTCTTATTCTGTAACAAAAATACTTAAGGGTAATTCAATCAGCATGAAAAAATCTTCATTTATCACATTTTAAAACCACTAATTTAAGATGGAATAACAAGACGACTGGTCTGTTCCCTCATAATTATTATTACCACATTTCAACTAAAAACAAAAATGTATTTGAGTTGTCATTAATCAATTCACCAGTGGTGAGGATGCAAAAGAGCACTAGGGCCTTGTCCTGGGGGGTTTTAGGACTGTATGGTGAGGATATCAGGCTTAACTGAATAGTATACTAAGAATATTAATCTAAAAAAAGTGTTTACTGTAATAAAAAGTCAGGTAAATTTAACAGAGTAAATCATTGGCCTTGGTTCTACTAAAACCAAATAATTTAGTAGAACCAAGGCCAATGATTTACTCTGTTAAATTTACCTGACTTTTTATTACAGTAAACACTTTTTTTAGATTAATATTCTTAGTATACAGCATTTAAATGCCAGTTGAATGTGTCTTTACAACTTAACAGTTTAACACCAAGGCAAGTGCTTTCTGTTTAGTATTTTCAAACTCAACATTATTTCAAACATTTTGAATAACAGTTTTCATGATTTAGGTCCGCTATCGATTAATGTTTAACCCAGTAAAGAAATATCCCTTTGAAACTGAAACTGAGCTTTCAGGACTGGGAAATCATCATCAAACAATTTTTATTTAAGGCTGCAAATCATACCCAGTTTCCAGTTTCTTATAAATCTCACTTTGCCAAAGGGAAAACATTAATTTGTCTCATGTTTATATACTGTAGATTTTTGAAAACACTGCAAGAATCCAGGCCAGATTTCTGGATATATGCTACCATGCTAGCTATTTTTACTTTTGTCACTTTTGACACTGTCTAAAATGATTATTTCATCCTCAAATAATGTACAGTTTAAATAAAAGATAATTAAAGAAATGGCTGTACTCTTGTCATTATCAATCGGCAGAGAGACCTATTTTACAACATTGAGTTGCTCGTTCCAGTGCATTTTATAGTTTTAATAGTGATATATTATTAAAATTTTAGAGCACTAGCTATTTTTTTTTTTTTTTTTTTTTTAGAGGTTGGCCTCTTTTAGCCTTCTATTTGCCCGTCCATGCCCGTGCGTGGAACGTATCCACAGCAAAGGAAGGGGTGAGCCGGTACAGTTCAAAGGTGAACTGTACTGATAAAATGTCTTCGGCAGTGACCAGGATCCGAACCCACGACATCGCTGCCTTGAGCCCGAAGTCTATGACGCTACTGACTGAGCCACCGACTCACCAAGCTATCCTTGATCATTTTTTTTAAAATTAATGGTCCTGGCTGAAGAACCACAAATCTTAATCAGTGACAAAGCTGTTATCTCATATTTATTCTTCAGTCATGTTTGTCTTGAAATACACACACAAATTAGTGAAGTGATATGTTACCTTCTGCCTGGCCACATGTTCTGCCAGCATATCTGACAAGTCCTCCTTCTGTAGCTGAGACTGTTGCTGGCGCAGTGTCTGTTCGTAGCGTTGTGCCATGGCGTCCGTATCTACCAGGTCTAGCTCAGATGGGTCCAAAGCCAGCTCCACAGTGTCCGAACGTCGAGTTCCTGCTGCTGCTCCCGCCACATCATACACATGTGTCGAGGCCATCATCGCACCTCCCACTCGATCCACCCGCTTTTCAGCCAGCACTTGGAACAACGCTGGTGTCTCGTTTCTGTCAGATTCAAACAGATTTTATTAAAAAACAACAACCTAATGATTGATCAGTATTTCCAAACTGAATATTTTAGCATGTTATCCTTTCATAGTTATACATCAATTTCACAACTCTTAGGCCTATAGGTTTAATTTTTCAGAATTTTTGAGATAACGGGATTTTAGGGATTAAAGTTAACTCAGTCTAATAAAGGGAAATTGTTCTGCTACTTCAGTCATTGATTCCACATAACATTTTGAGCACAAATAAATTCATAATTGGACACAGGCCTACATGGAGAGATAAATGAGGATTATATAGCGATCTCATATTGATAATGTGCCTTGGTAAGATGACTTGTGTTGATGACTCAAGAACACACTGAGAATGATATCATACTTTTATCACACTTTAATCAAATTAAAACTTGATATTCGTTTTTATACATAGGGCCTACTCAGATTTAGACAGTATCCTACATTATCATACACAACTTCAAAACACCACATTCTACTTTGCCTTAACTCATAAGATGAAAGATGGATGATTAGAAAACATCTTCCTTTCTGTTCATAAATTTACAAATCAATTGATAGTATCTTATTATTTATAAAGCCTCATAAAACATGTTTGTAATAATGTTTTTCTCACCCCTCCATCTCACTCTCTATCTTCTTCTTCCTAAGCTCTATGATCTCCGGAGTCTCCAGACCTGCAGGGATGCTGGTGATGCCTGAAGGAGTGACCAATCCCTCTGCTGGAGTCACAAGTCCTGTCTGATCTTGTTCTTCTCCTTCTCCCTCCTCTTCCTCCTCCTCCTCTTCACTCTCCTCCTCACTCTCAGACTCCAGCTCTCCCCAAGCAGTCTTGTCAACTTCCTCATCCACTTCATTTGCCTGATAATAGTTTAAATATTCATTTGATCGTATTTAAGTTGAAAACAAGTTACAGTAATATTAGATTCATTTCCATTTAGAGAAATCAGCTCTTTGGTGGCTAAAACTGCATCAGACGAGGTCAAGCCAGTTAGGTCTTTGCACTATTGCATGTATCTGTTGGTGTTTGAGGTTTTGAAACTGTGACACAATGACTATGTCCCACAATATTGAAATAAATTAAATTTGAGTTTGATGAGTTAAATAGAAAGATAATTCAATAAAAAAGTTCTTAAATAAGATTTGTCTAGTTAATACGATAACATTAGACTATTTTTTTTAACCTCTTTTAATGAGGTTTTTGTATTGATTTTAAAATAGAGTTGTATTTAGATAATAATTTATTTTTCTATCACTTCAGCGTAAAACTAATCAAAGGTTGAATGCAGCCAACCGGAGTAACTTTCTGGGAGCAATAAAAATTGAAAAAATGTATATATAACAAATATATAGCATATTTTTTATGTATTTATGATTTACTGGAGAACCATTAGCATAGGCCTACTTCAACATTCAAACTTCTTGAATTTTATAGTCACCTCCTGAGCTGGAGCGCTGGTGCCGAACACATCCCCGTACAGTGGCTTCCCTGACTCATCCACAGGAGGTTTGCCCCAGCCACCAGCGTGGTATCCAAAGGAGCAACCCTCTGGGATTGGTGCGTTCAACCCTGGGATCTTCAGGTTGGGGTATGAAGGTGGAGGTCCATATCTCTGCATGGCAATGAGCCAAGGGGGTGGTACCTTTACAGGAAAGACACACATAACTTAAGTACAAGCTAAAACTAGGTGAGAGAAATTCTACCGATACACTTTCTTGTTTGCTGTTATATGATCTAAATGCAAGCATTTTGAATTGATCCTACTAATATTATAAGTGAGAAAGTTTGGATGTATGGATGTATGTATGTTTGTGACAAGTAAACACGAAAAATACTGGTCGGATTGGGCTGAAATTTGGCATGATGATAGCTCACATTCCCGATTAACATATAGGCATATTCTTTTCTCAAAAATCCTTTTGGGCTCCGCCCTAGTGGCTCTGCTGTTCCCCATGTTAACCTTATGATTATTCATATTTAAAGGGAATTAAAGAATTTAGCCAGCTGTTTCAACTAAAAGAGTTGGTCCTATGATATGCAAAAGCATTAAAAATGTATAAGATTTACCAACAGGGTGCAGCGCTATTATTTTTTTCATTATTTATGAAAACAGCTAATTTGAACTAAGCAGCAACAAAAAACTGTGATACACAACGAGAACTGTCAAAGTAGGATTGTTTACAGTTATGTTTATGTTTTTAATTTCATGAATAATTTATGATATTTTGCGAATTTTTAATAATTTATCTTTCTCTATTGTGTAGGTGAAGTAGTAGAACATTATGGCTATGGTAGATGTGTAATACTATCGCATACCGTAAATTTGAGGAAGCAAAACCGTGTTCTCAAACCGTGTTTTCTCACATCGCAATTGCAAAGATCGGGTATAACTGCAATAAGCATTTTATACTTATTTGCCAACCCCGTACGAAGGACGTTTACTTTGCTAGTATGAAATAAATAGAATTTTTCAAATTATAGGTCAATCATTTGAAAACCGTCTAAAGTTTTCACACAAAGCAAAAAATATAGGTTAGTTTAACCAAGGAAAATTAGAGGCTAAAAACAAAAACACACTAAATTTTGAAAGAGGATTGCAGTATGAAAAACAAGGTTGAAACATTTTGAATCTAACAACAAATTATACACTCAACTTTTACATAACCAGAAAATAACATGCACGGCTATAGTTATCCTACTTCAATAAATAAAAAAAAAACTTTTTTAAAGGAAAAGTTAAGTGAGTTATAAAATTCTGGTATGGTCAGCCTATATTGTCTACAAATAGGTGAACACAATTTTGTAAATCATACTACACAATTTAAACTTGTTTACTGACAGCTGTTACTAATGTACTATAAACTGGCACTCTGGATCAATTGTATACACAGAGAGGATTGTGGTAAGTATTGTACCTTGTGAGCGTTGGCTCCCACAGGCATCCCAAGTGCTGTCCTCAGCTCATCAGACAAGTCACCCGGCTTCTTTTCCTTCAATCTGGTCTCAAACTCCTTACCTTCATAGTACAAGTCACCGTGGATAGTGAGGCGAGGTTTTGTTTGCCATCTGGAAAAAATGCATTAGTAAATTGATTACATTTGCCATTATTAAGTGATGATATATATGATTATATATATGTGATTATATTATATGATTATTATTAATCAATAAACTAATGATGCTTTCTATCAGTATGTTAAAGTTATGTAGTAACAAGACCAGTGTTTAAACCATACCTATAAAAATGGGTATTATAGTATGACATTAAAAAAATCACACAGCTTTCTTAAAATTTTTAGGTTAAGTATTGGTACGTGTTGCCATGATATAACAACTGACAACAAATCATTTTTATCCAGAACCACGGCAAAGAAATATATATAGCATACCAACCTCAACATTTTATTTATTTATTTATTGGCCAGATCCCCACTCCTGAGATTGACATAGGCCTACATTGATAAAATTATGTGTCCAATCGATTTCTTTTTTCTTTTAATGTAAAGATTTATTTTTAATGTGTTACTTGCTACACAACATTTTACTTTACCTTATTGAGACTGTTAAGAGTCAAGATATTTAGCTTAGTAACTGTAATTTGTTACACTCACTTGAAAAAAGCATCATGCAGTTTTTGGTAGTCAATGTCAATTTTCCCAAGCTTGGGTCTTGCCCGTTCCCTCATCTTAGCCTTAAGAGTTCTTTGATCTTCTTTCTCCTGTAATGAAGCTCGCATCTCCATGATACCTGTCTTTTTTATGAACTCTGGAAGGTCAAACGGTGGTTTTTCTATACCTCTCTTCCCTTGAAGGTACTGTAAATAAATAAATCAAGATATCAGTTAACTTTTGAGTATAAAGCTTAAATGACATACTCACATGTTGGAAATATCAATAATTATTATTTCAAATATCATACATGGAGTAAAAGATTTTTTTGTATGATGAATATTTATACCAGAATTTACTTCTGCTCAGATATATACTTACTTTTCTCTTGAAGCACCAGTGTCTAGGCACAGGCACTGTGTTTCTATGTGCTTTCAGTTGCACCAGCAGTTTGGGGTCTCGTGCTGTTACATCATGCATCTCTACCACATCTGGGCGACTGACTAGCTGTTTCAGCTCTGCCACACTGAGCCTCGTTAACTTCTTCATCTTACGCTTGGACATCTTGGGCTTCTTATCAGCTTCTTTACCCTTTTGTTAAAATGAACAGGAAAACATTATTGATATTGAACTAAGAAGAAAACCATATCATCTTTATTTTTATGATAACATTCATAATTCTAAGTTACTAAGATGTATTTTAGAGTACTAGGACCTAGGTTTAAAGATTGTTTTGGGGGAAAAGGCTTACCTAATAGGAAAAGTTAATCCTAGGACAAGAACAGAAAAAATAGAAAATTTAACTGTCAATGACTATTTTTGATGGAGGAAGTTTTCAGTTAGGGGAAAAACGTCTTTTGATCGAAAAGTAGATCTTTGTGTATGGTGTAAAGTTGTTTTTTTTTTCTAATGCTTCAACGAACTCTAAAAAAGGTTCTAAGCCTTTTAGTTTTGTTAGTCGTAGAGATAAAAATATAGTACCAGTACTAAGCATACATATTTGGTTTTATCTGACAGTTTGAATTGACTACCATACAATACCAGAAAGATAATACCTCAAGTGGTATTATTTTTACATGAAGACAAGTGCTCAAATGTTAGATTTTCAATTTTGGAACCAATATTGACAGTAGGCCCTATTTATTTGTAAAGAAGCCTAACTAAAATTGCACCTATGGCCAAAAAAGTTTTAAAATAATCACATCTCAGTTGAACTTTATTGGTTACAATATTGTTATTAACCGTTTCAGTGAAATGCGACAATATTTCATTGGTTGTCTTTTTCCCGAAAAGTGATATGGAACGAAATATCATTGTTTGAGTTTCATCCGAAAAGTGCTGAGCGACAATGTATTTTGCCGTCGCGACTTTTGGTCATGTGAGTTAAAATGGGCATATAGGTTGACTCGGTTGTTGTTTCGAAACAGCGTTGGTTTCTTTCGATTCCTCATACGAACGAAGCCCAATATATTGTTCTTTAGCACTTTTGAGATAAAAATTTTTATTTTTACAGATATTTTTCTCACACACTAGACTTTGCCCCCGTGGTAAGCCTAGCACTTTTCGGACAAAACAAGTCGATAAATCTAGCATTTTTCAGTAAAAGTTACAAAAAAATTCTAGCATTGAAAGGGTTAAAAGATCTGGCTTCTAATACTTTTCATGCAATGTTCTAATTAATGCCACACAATTGTGATTCTTCTTCTTCAGTGATTCTTGACCTACACTGCATGTTTAACAACAACTATGTCAAAAAACATAGAGTCCAGCTAGCTTACTAGAGAAAAATTAACTGGAACTACCTTTTTTTAAATAATTCCTATCCTTCCACTCAGCTTTCTTCTAAATTACATTGTATCGTTCAAGAATATTATCAATGTTAAAATTATTTGACAACAAGACCAGTTGCTAAGAAGAGACTCAGGTAGTTTACTAATAACATAACATGAATTTAGTACCTCTTGCTCTTCAGGCTCATCCTCCTCATACTCGTCAGCCAGTTTAGGCACCTTGCGCAGAGTCGCAGCTAGAGCCTTGGCTCCAAGCTCCTTGGCTGCAGCTAGATCCTTGCTGATGTCTGGAGTCACCACTGGCTCGGAGATGCGGAATGTTTCAAATATACGAGCAAACTGACGATACATCGGCTCCAGTTGGTGCAAGCCCAATGTTTCTTGGATGTATCTAGAAAGGTAATACTTTTGATAAAAATTCATCAAACTCATTGAATAAAAAAAACTTTTTTTAAACCTCTATCGATAACCCTCATCTGTCAAACAGATTTGTTTGAAACTTTTAACAAGCCGTTTTCATGCTCTTAATATTCATAGGCTATCTTGTGACACTTGGTTTGACATTATATTGTAATTGTCGTAATATAATTTGTTACCAACAGTGTCTATTACATTTTTGTGTATCTATTGGTTTTTTTTTAAGGAACTAAGTCCCACCTGCACATCATAGGATGCTTGCTCTAGCCTGGGACTGTTTTACACATTAGGTCTAATTCAGGCTACCTAGAGATTATTAAAATGGTATAATATTACCTGTTTCCGTCTGTGATCCTATAATTGTTGTATAGAGCAACCGGTTTCAAGGTTATAACCTCATCTTCAGGCTCTTGTTGTCACTCTTGTGAGATCGTCGAGTTTTACAAACACACAAAAACACTAACATTTAAATAAACAAACACGAGACATTGACAGACGAAGACGATTAACATAAATTCGGGAACTAGTTCCACACACGACGCGGCACGGGCAAACGTTTTGTCATGACTGGGCAAAATATGATCCTGTGTTATAGGATCACAGACGGAAACAGGTAATATTATACCATTTTAATATTCAAGAAGTGATCCTGGAACAAATAACATCAATACCTCTGAGAGATTAGCAGCATAATCTCAAGGGTAGGCCTATCTCAATAGTGATTGACTGGATTTGCACCTGAAATTTTTGCCCCAAGATATGCTAATAGACCAGCATGCACGTTAAGATTTTCTGAAACTTAAGAACAGAAGCCCACAACTACACACAATGTTGATGAATCCTTAACCCCCTGATAAATGTAATTTCGGCACCTTCAGTTTGACTTTGAACTGTTAAAATTATTCTTAGTTCTAAGGAAAATTATATGCTATAGGCCTATCATATAATAATAAAATATCAATCATAACTTACTCAATCTCAACATCCTCGTTTTCTTTGTCAGATTTGTCCTTGCTCTTGGAGTCATCTTTTTGAGAAACCTTTTGTTTTTCTGCCTCCAGTTTTTTCTGCTGTTTAGCACGCTTCTTCCTCTTCTTTTTTCGCTTGTTTTTACTGGCTCTTTTTTCCTTCCCTGTTTCATTTCCTGGCTGTGAGTTTTCATCTTGATTGTCTTCCCAATCATAATCATCTTCATCCTCAAAGTCTTCAAAAGATGTTTCCATCGGTTGCAAGTCATTACGAGAATCTCTTGATTCTAAAATAATAAAAAGAAATACTTAAAAACTGTATTTTAAGTGGATGTCTGTATTAATTCCCACTCATACAACTTTTTCTTTGACTTTCTATAATAATAAGATAGGCTACATCTGTTTTTCAAATTTTTCAAAAAATTACTTACCTATGATAAACAAGTTTGGATGAGTAGGACTTTACTGAAATTAGGTGTTATTTCATAAAACATCTTCCATACAGATACAGACGTATTTATATTATACAAGTAACCAAAAACCTTGTATCAAATAATTACAAAAAATAAAATTTGGCATAACAGGCAGAAGATCAGTACATACATAAGAGATAGATTTATAGGGATGCACTGTGGATGCGTTGCTCCCTGGTGTGGATTAACGTCCGCACTAGTGAGTACTACAACTATCCGCAGTACTATCCTGATAATTAGACCAATTCGTAAATTACAAGGAAAAAATGTTGTTTGGATTCCACTACAAACTGTTGATCCCTTAGTTGCCATTAGCTGTGTGGGCTATTAATTTACAGCTGTGTCTAAGAAACATGTTGGCCTTAGTCACTAACAAGACTACAAGATCGCGCCACTCATCCTTCACTCATATTTCCAGGGTTAAAATACGCACATAGTGGCGTCCCCATCTTAAATAATTGAATTGAATTGAATTGAATACCTATCTCTTCAGGTTGCATGCCAAGTTGTTTGGCTCTCTCAGTCTTGAAGGCAAGAGCTTGCTCCAGAGCTACAGGTAGTCTCAGTTCTCTCTGTGGTGGAGGTTGTTGTTGTTGTTCCTGGGAGTTGTCAGGTGACTCTCCACTGGTAGGGGGGGCCTGCACCACTACTGAGGGGGTGGGAGTGTCCACTTGTAAGTTGATCACTGAACTGGGCTCCGGGTCTACACCAGGGGGGCCAATGACCATATCGATGCCTGGTGGCGGGGGCATCGCAACTGTCGTTTGAATAGGAATCACTTGAAGAGTGGCTGGCTGTTGAAGACTTGTTACCACTGAAAAACATTTTTTTATAAATTATTGTGAACTTAGATACTAACCCATTCATAACCTTACATAAAAAAAATACTGCACTAAATACAACCTTAGACATTACATCCCCATGTTAAATTTGTAGCCAGCTTTTTTATCAAAATCGTTGTAGTTGATGTGAGCCACCTACAGATTGCGCTGATCTTAATTACTAAATTATCTCGAATACACAATCTTCTTAACCAAGTCAAACTTCGGGAATGACTTATGATAAGTTATAGCAACTGTTATGACCCATCAACCTGGTCAGCAACAAAAAATAAGGTATAAAATAGAATTTAAGATCCTAGCACATTCTTTGACTGGCTTACACAATTACATTCTTTTTTAATAAAAAAATCGATACAGCATATAGATCCAATAGATCTTTAGTCCATATAGATGGGAAGTCTACTTCAGTATCCAATAGTCAATGATACAACGTAAAAACATCATACGTAATGTGCATACTGTAGGACATTACATATATTTTTGTGAAGTTTTTGAAATATTTCTTTTATATTGATTTTGTTATTGATTTATTATTTGACAAGATGCTTTAGCAGCTCACCAGTTGCAGATGTAGGTTGGATGGTAGATACGTTGAGGGTTACAGGCAAATTGGCTGTCACTGGAGAGAAGTCCAGAGTAGCTGTGGTCAAGATAGCGGTTGGAATAGTTGAAGCCGCAGTAACTGCAACCACCTGTACCTACAACCACAACAACAATATCACACAGCTGAGCAATTGAAACAGGTAATTGATAAACAGAAAAAACACATTAGGTAAATAAGACTGTTATTGAATGAACCCGATACAACAAGAGCTCTGCCTCACCAGTGATAGAAAATGCAATCCTCCATGGCGTGTTATTTGTCAGTTGGTGCTAAATGAATAAGTGAAAGAAACTACTTGAATCCATGCTGCATAAATAAAGCTACAAAAAGCATGTAAAGCTTCATCCATGCGGCTTAACCTAAAAGTATTTACAAATGACATCGACAGATTTTGATCATTAGCTTCGAAAGATTGGACAAAAAAATGCCGGTTTCTGCCGCTTGGCTTGTTTCCAATCCAACAATGGTTTGGGGTGGTATAAAATCAAGAGCATTTAAAAAGACCACTTGTTATCAAGGTTCCACTGTGTGAGAGATGGCCATGTTTTTTCACATTAATTTTGTTGTTAACAATTTGAATTTGTGAACTTACGGTTTGTATATTATCCTGCTGTTCAATTAAAGCTTTTTGTTGCAACTGGAACAGTTCTTGGTCTTCCCTTTGTTTTTCTGCCATAGCTGTCTGAAAATATAAAAAATTCCTTATTTTTGAATAAATTAAATTAAATTGTGTATAAATTAAAACAAAACAGTTTAAAATATAGGCTATTTTTTATGTTAGGCCTATGTTTTCAGGATTGCTTAAAAGAGAACACATTTGAACATTTTAAGTTTTGATTTATTAATCATCACACCAATTGAACATTACTAGATACTTAGGATAAGTCACATTTTAATACAACAGTTACCGAGGTTCTACTGGAGGTAAGAAACCTAGCCTACTAAACAGGCTGTGTAGCCAACCTTATAAATTCAAATCACCAATAACTTTATCAGGAATATGTGTATATAACATCTCACGTACAAAAAGTGTTTGGTAGTTGATGCATTTGATAGTTAAAACCTTTTTTTACCATTCAATAAAATTCTGAGTAGGCCTACTGTATTGCTATTTTGAATGATAATATTTAGTAAACACAACACACCAATCAATGTATTTAGATTATTCTGAAATTTTAGGGAAGGAGTGTATCCTTTATACAGTAGCCTACTAAATTTAGAGACAAAAAGGCTCAACACAAAAATCTTTTGTAAAGCCTTTTTTATTTTATATTTAGCTCAGAAAATATTACTTGTAAGCTAACTGTATTTGTTGTATGCTAGATTTTTCATTTTATGAAATCAGATTATAAGTAAGTAGGCTACCTACTTTGTTTTACTTTGATAACTTAAAAAAAGTTGATTTTTCAGTGGTATTTTCTTTTTCTTCACCAACACGTAGGCCTATGTAATTCATCATGATGAATTTTTCATTATCGCAATTCTTCTTTTTCACCATTCTATATACTATCTAGGCCTATTAAAAACTACTGATTTTCAGAGATCCAAAAGTTGTCTGTATGCCTACTTTTTACATCATACTTTAACAGCACCACATCACAATCTGTTTAGGCTACTATCCATACTGTTACACCATGTTTGAAGCATTTAATTTTCGACTAAAGAATAACATTGACTGGCAATGTAGTGCGCTGAAAGGGCAATATGTACGGTAAGGAATATTTTTAGCTTAAGGTTACGCTACACCATTTTAGTCAATAATAAAACTACTTACTGCCAATTAACACAGGGCCTATAAACTAAGCTAAGTTACAACTTCAACAAAAAAAATTATTGACATTACATTTGATTACTATTTTGTTAACAGTTCATACTGTCACCAAATGTAGTTTTTTAACCCTCTTGATGTTAAGACGCTCACAGCAACGAGGTCTATTCAATGAGCGTCTGACCTTCCGGATGCACCTTCTCGTCTCACACTAGCGACTGTTTGAGGCCACTAGTTACCCTCCAGCCAGCCAATAGAACCCGCTTCTTTAACTGTATTCAATAAACGCAGGTGTGGCCGTAGCCTTGTGTAGCTTAGTAGGTTTTTAACAATCCCGTGAACTTAATGGCTCCGTCAGATCAGTTTGAAACCTTTAATAAATTATCAATCGTCGGTTCACTTAGGTTTTTTACTGTCGCTAGCCACCATCTTTTTTTTCATTTAACTCTGTAAAATATTTTTTTATGTTTTGTATTTTAAAATATTTGATCATATAGGCTATTTATTACAACTCGATATGTCCATATTCAACCAAAATAAAAGCAAAAACAAAAATCTGTGTCCTCCTCTATACTAATGTAAAAAGAAGCAAAACAGGTACGGTATTATGTGTTATTTTGTTTGTTATATTGTGTGCCGCGGCTTAGAAATCGGCTTCACAAAAAAGAATTGATTATGGAGTTATCCAGGGTTCGACCTTGGGGCCTCTGTTATTTTTAATATACATAAATAACCTGGGCAAAATTAACTTAAACAAAGGGCAGATCTTTCTGTACGCCAATGACATGACGCTCTTGTTCGAGGGCGACAGCTGGCCGGAGGTGTACATTAACGCCGAACGCGGCCTTCTCACTGTCAAGCGATGGTTCGACCAGAATAAGCTAACTGTTAACTTATCAAAAACAAAATACATGCCGATTTCACTAAGATCTGATTATGATCCTTTAGATTTAGATTTAAAATTACATAGTTGTGGTGCCGAGATTGAATGTGACAAGTGTGAAGGTATTGAACGTGTGAATGAGTTTAAGTATTCAGGGGTGATGTTTGAGAGCCGGCTGAAATGGACTAGTCACATAAATCAAATTAGATGTAAACTACATAAATTCATTTTTGTTTTTTCTAATATATCCAAAATTTTACCTCTTGATCTTTAAAAAAACATTTACCATGCATACATACAGTCTATTCTACAATTTGGGAATCTAGCGTGGGGTGGTGGCTATAAAAGTATTCTGGCCCCTATCAAAATTATTCAAAAAGCCATTATAAAAATTGCTCTACGGAAACCTCGCCGAAGAATAAAGTATTTTTCATTTAATTTCATTTCATTTCTACTAAACTCAATAATTCTGCCTACTGTCACACAAGGAGGACATTGTTTATGTAAGGTGGACCCTCCACACCAGCTAAGCACACACTATATTAAGCTTTATATGGATTGGAAATGCAGTAGAGCCCTGGTTAACCGAAATAAAGGGGGGAGAGCCGTTTCGGATAACCAATTTTTCAGTTAAGTTTAATCCATCATATGCTAAAAATAGCCTAGCCAAGGTATCACCACAGTGTGTAGGAAAAATGAATTTAAGAGAATGTAGGCTATATATAATTCAGTGTTTTATTTTAGCTACAAAAATGATACAATGGGATAGAAAATGCTTTAAACCAGACAACTGAAGTTATTAGAACCATTTTACAGCCCTATATTATTTTATAGACCCGTTTCGGTTAAACAATTTGAATCTGCGCATGTACAGTCCAACCTCGGTATAACGAATCTGAAGGGACCGAACTGAATATTCGTTATACCAAGGATTTCGTTAAAATGAGGTTCGTTATATAGAGGTTAGGTTTGCAGGAATTTCGCTAAGTCGAGGTTCAGAACCAGCATCAGTCTATTTAAAGGTTGGGATTGGACCTCATTAAAACACAATTAAAGTAGCATAGGCTACAATACTTTACAGTGTACAATGTTTACATTGTAAAGTAGAATCTCGATTATCCGGGATACTAAAGAGAAGGGAACTTTAATATTGCGCAATCATGACATTTATAGTCATTGACCTTGGTACAGGTTACAAACTTTAAGTTTAAAATCACAGCTTACTGCTTACTCCAATCCACCTAAAACCTAGCCAAACAATGTATTGCATAGCAATAAACCACGTAAAGAACAAAACAAAACAGTAGAGAGTTTTGTAAGCTACTGCTCGTGATAGACCGGTGGTAGGCTACAGTAGTGCTTTAAATCACAATAGAGGAATGTACTGTAATTATCATGAACTTAGTACAAATCATATTGAAAATAATAAAAATATTAGATAGGCTAAGTCGTTATTGAAGTGTATAATTATAGCCAACTTAATAAAAACAATCGTAAAAGGAATGTTAAGATATCCATGTTGCTATTCTTTTTCTTTGCCTTGATCTTCTATTCTTTTTCTTTCTAAGGTTTCTCTTCATCCAAAAATTGTACAATTCACCATTTTTACTTATCACCCAATCACAGCTTACTACACATTAAGGCGCCATCAGTCCTCGGTGAATGAAATCGGTTCTCAGTTAGATGTAAACATAGCGCGCATGCAACGACGACAGCAGACAGGGATGTGTAAAACGGAGCAGACGAATGTTAGCGCAAGCGTTGACGTCACCTTTCCATTTCATTTTATGAAGAAACAGATTTTTCAAAAGCAATAATGGTGGTGGGGGGTTCGTTGTATCGAGGGAGATACGCAGACAATTCGTTAAGTAGAGGTTAAATTCGCTATGTAGAGGTTCTGACAATGATAAATTCGTTATATTGAGGTGTCTTATTTTAGCCGGGATCATGAAAAATTCGTTAAATCAAGGTCGTTGATATGGATTGTTCGTTATGTAGAGGTAAAATATACATTGTGTCTTATGGAGAGTTCTAGGGGATTTAAAAAAGTTCGTTATATTGAGGTTCGTTATATCAAGGTTAGACTGTAGTAAGACCTCAAGGTTACACTTGTCAGTGCAACGCCTTAGCCACCGTGAAAATTGCCACTAAGCACACTAGTGCTTGTCAGTGGCGGATCTAGAACAGTCACAGGGGGGGGGGCGACCCGGGGGGCTAAGGGGTTCGGGGGTACTCCCCCCCCCGAAAAATTTGTATAAACTATGCATCCAAAATGGCAGTTATATACCATTTGTCACAATTTGTATGCACTACTGTATTACATGCAGTAAAAATCTATATATAGGCCTATGTATGCCCGAGGGGGGGCAGTTGTCCCCTTCGCCCCCCCTCTGGATCTGCCCCTGGTGCTTGTAGGGGAGATTCAACGAACTAATACCCAGAGCTATAAGTTATACCAGGGCTTAGGTTTTTATGTGTGTTAAGTTTGAAGGATTAAGAGTTTACTTAGTGTTTTTAGGATATTACAAAGCTTTAATAAGATTAGTTCAAAACAAACTTTTAAGGTGAATCTACTTGGAAATAACAGTAAAGTACGTATCATTAAGTACTACTATTCATAAAAAATAAATATAAATAACTTAGAGAGATAGGACAATTTCCCCAGACCACACAATATTGGTTTACATCGCCAAGCACTTCCCTATAACATCAAGTAGATAAGGGCGTGAGTAAATGCCAAACTTTCGAAATACCAATATTAGCCTATCTCATTATATTTTCTAGTCAGTTATATTGAAACGTAGCAAAATGAATTTTGCGCCAGTAGCTGCTGGTCAATGGGTGTGGAAAAGTGAAATTCAACTTTTAGTTTCAGGGCCTAGCTGTGTTATGTTATTCCTTGGTCGCTGGTTTAAAATCCAACCAGCATTAAGCCTACACAGTGTCATTGTTTTATCTTTACCTGTTGCAGTCTCAGTAGTTCCTCTTGTCTAATCATTTCCTGTTGTTCCAGCATCAATTTCTGCTGCAGGACTTTATGCTGCAGATCGTCAGACATCTAGTGAATCATTAAAATGTTAGACATGTATAAAACAACACTTGCATTTGGTACTTACTCAGGACCCAGACCCCAGCTTAAACGTTCTAAAACCACTTTTAGACTATTCTAGGACATCAATACTACAACTTTATTAAAGATTTTTTTTGGCGCCGAGGCCTCCTTTTATTACTAATTAAATATATAAACAATAATCCCAACACACTAGGGGGCCGGTAAGAATTCGGGATGGGGGAGATAAAACGTGGTTATACATGGGGAGAAAAGGGTAATTCAACGGGTAAAAGGGTAATTTATAGGTAATTACCCAGCAAGAATGGGAAATTAGTCGGTATAAATGGGTACTTTCCTTTGCCGCCGACGACAACGAGCAGAGCCGGTAGGGACAGGAAGACGATCAGAATTGTACCTATTGTACCATATGATATAAATAAAAACAATAACAAAGTAAAAATAAAGTTGTTTGTTTATTTTATCCAATACATATTTAGTAAAAAAATGGCTTTAAAAATATTTAAATAGGTCAATAAAAAGTGGTGTAACATCTATCACCTGTGTGAATAGCCCATCCTTAAGTTACCTCTAAAAACCTTAAGTTAAGTTTTCAGTCTTCTTTTGTTTGAATATTGATAGTTTTATTAATTCAAGTTCATTAAAAACTGTTCTTAACTGCATTTTTACATTCAAAACATCAATAAAACATGAAAACAGATCATAACCTATTTCCATGTTTGTTTACATAAAATAAAAATAATTTAGAAACAATGTTTCGAACCGAATCTATATTGATATTTCTACAGACATATGTTACGAATACATAGAGAAAACAAACTCCTCAAGGAGTATGGAATTAATAAATAAATATACATATCTATGCAATTAACTAACACAAGTTGTTACTCGCTTATCGTGTTTACAGTAGTTCATGTTGGTGACACTGGGTGCGCTGGTGTCTACAAAATCTGATTTATTAATAGGGTTATTTATTTGTTATTTAGTTTCATGGTTTGTACATTACTGTTTGGTTGTAAGTTTTATCTGGGTAACGAGTTCTCTTATAAAATCGATTTATGAAATCATAGCCTACAGCAAGTTTGGTTGGTCTGGTTAGTTTAGAACAGTTTCATTTCATAATGAACAATTATTTTTTCCTCATGAAATCATACAGCAAGTTTGGTTGGTTTGGTTAGTTTAGAACAGTTTAGTTTCATAATGAACCATTATTTTTTCCTCGTGAAATCATACAGCAAGTTTGGTTGGTTTGGTTAATTTAACAGTTTCATTTCATAATCAACAATTATTTTTCCTCATGAAGGTTGGTTTGGTTAGTTTAGAACTGTTTCATTTCATTATGAACCATTATGTTTTCCTCGTGATATCATACAGCAAGTTTGGTTGGTTTGATTAGTTCAGAACAGTTTCATTTAGGCTAATAACCCTCCGAGTGTCATGCGTCGCTGCAGCGACTCACGAACACTGTTTACGGCAAAGGCTCTATGACTGACTGAATCGGATTGAACTGGATCGAGTTAGGTATCGTTCTTTTCCTTAAAATTTAAGCTTTCTCCAGAGGTCTGTCTCAGTGCTGTATGTTCTCTGAGCCGATCGTAATTGTAGCAGACAGCTGACGTGCCTAATTGTAAACAGGTTAGTTAACCTCGGACCGATGACTGATGTGTTTTATTACGTTTATCATTGTTTTAGTGTTAAAAATCAAAAGTAGTGATATACGTGGTGCATTATAAGAAGATTTAAGTGATTTTGAAGGGCTGGTTGATGATCCTGAAGAAGTAGGTAGTGATATTGATGTAAATTATCAGCCAGATTCCTAGCTATGGTTAGGCTATGCATTCTTAGCTAAACGCAATGTACTGAAATCTGTTTTTCACTCATAACTTATTTATTTGATAACTTACCTCACTATATGATTATATATTTGTAATCCTCATAAAATTTAGAACAAAGTGGCTATTTTCAAATATTTATAGGCCTATAATTTATACAATTTCATTGAGCGCAAACTTATTTTTTTTTTGAAAATTTTCCAAAATATTTTTTTTTTACCTAAAAAATTTTTTTTTAACAAATGTTCCTTATGTTTTATATATAATATTGAAGCCCATGATTTTCCAAACAAAATGGTATATGGAACAGTATAATTAACATTGTTTTTAAGCTACTCAGATCCGTTTTAATAAAACCTTACAAATGAGCTAAAAATAGGCAGACATTAAGGCCAAAACAAGGGACACTCGGAGGGTTAATCAACAATTATTTTTTCCTCTGTTATTTTTTCAACATGCATTATGGCTAAAAACTTGATAAATTACTGCCTAAACCAATTTGGTAAGTTAAACCAACTTACGAAGTTATGAGGAAATAAAGAGTTTGCCTAGGCCTACCGTAGTTTATTGTCTACGATAAGAATCACAAGCTGTAAGTTATCAACCTCCACATTTTTATTCTTAGTAGGGTAATAAGACATAAATCCATATATTTAACTTAATACGCTAACTTAGATGGGAAGTTGGTTCCTGTTGGAGCTGTTGTGGCTGGTGAGTTAAACTTAAGGTTTTTTTGTTTTAAGACTTAGCTTACACACATTTAAATTACATTTTATACCAATTAAGCCCTACCTAAGTTATATATACCTAAGCTATATACCATATAAGCTACCTAAGTTAAGTTACATCAAAACCTTTTAAGAAACATTTTTTGACTGTGACGTGACTCACCAGGACTGATGTGTGTGAATAGACCCAAAGTTAAATCAGTATGCAAGAGCAATTAGAATGAAGATTAAACTGTAGGCCTAGACAAACTAATGGCATGTGGAAATGCTTAACATAATGCAATGGTTGATCATTGCAGACTTAGGCTATTATTTCTCATTTAGGCCTAGAACTAGGCAGGATGATAGCTTTAGTTTGGGCTGTCGTTACTGCATTAAGTAAAGTCCTAAAAATGAAGGCCTTTTACGTAAGTCATGGTCTAACTTAAGGAGGCTATAGAATACCAAAGTTGCAGGCCCTAACCTATCCAAATCATAAGCATAGGTCTAACATTTGTCAAACTTAAGATAGGGTAGGGCCTGATTGCTGTTACAAACCATGATTTATGCAAAATAAATGTAAAAATATGTACGTAAGTATATAAATGTAGATATATAATAGCAAATGCAGATACATAGTAACAAATTGTAGACACATCAAACATAACTAACTTAAGTACATAATAACAGAATTCATGAAAAGGGTTATCGATTTTAGGTTGCCGTTGTAAGGCCTTTTAATATCTAAACTAAACGATTGGTACATCTTATAATAGGGAATTTTCGACTTAAAAAGTGTTACGAGATGTTCCTACATTATAATCGTAAAATGATTGGTCCTGACAGGACTTATATAGCCTATCTTAACTTAGTTCCCTTAAATTTTTAGGTTAACAAACAGAGGCCCGGTGGCTGGATATCTATCTAGCGAAAAACAAACTTGGATTAAACTAAACTACACTTTACCAACCTTTAATTTGTAGGTGAACACGCCACCGAGATCCGAGTAAATTTACGTATTATGACTTGTTCGTATTTAGAATATTTACTAGGCTTACGACAAAGCTAAAGTAGTAGCAGTAGCAGCCATCCCCATTGCATAAACTCTAAAAAACAACAAACACATTTTTCTTTGTTTTTACTTGGTCGTTAGTTACTCGGCTGGACTGATAGTCATGAAGCGCTATTTAATTTATATTAAATAAAGTGTTAGAGCGTAGATTAAACATACCCGTGAAAATGTGATTCATTTAACTCCGAATTACATATACGTAGGTCAATCACATACCAAACATTAACAATCTGCAGATACTTAAACATAAGCAGTGATAAGTATTTTGACGCCACAGCCACACTACACTGTTTTACCCAACTTCACAAGCAAGGATAGTCTATCTATAATACAGCTATTTGCCGTCAGTACTCTTACCGTACACTGCACGGTAAAGCATTTTACGGTGCACTTAGTCAGCTGATGAAATAAATAGGTACAGGTAGTTACGACTCAAGCGCCAGCTTAGCTAGAACTACCGTAATTGCAACCACCTATTTTATTTTTTTAAATATAAAAGTAGTGGAGAACTGCCGGTTTTACCTCACTTTAGACACGTTTTTCCCATGTTATTCTTATGGGGATTATTTTTGGCCACCAAATCTAAAATCCTGATCTTTGCCTGCAAATCCCTATAAAATTGTCAAACCTTATTTCTTAGTTATTCCCCATAAATATATTCGATATTAAGCAAAAATAAAAAATAAACTAATTATTTCATTTATTGACCCATGTATGTGTATATGTATAGTAGTATAGTTTGTCGCAGCCGTTTTTTGAGGTGCGTCGTCATTTTTGGGCCAACTCTCCCCCCCCTCACCCCCTCACCACTCCCCTCTGCCCCATGCACAATTGCTAGTACATCTACCATTCCCCTTTCCAGTTGATATATTATATTTCTATTTCAAAATCATGTATGTGTGTGGTTTGCACGCGAACTCGGCTCATGGCGTGGGCGCGCTCCTGGTCGCGGGCATGCTCCCTTGGACATCCTTTGTGGAAATCCATGAGTTCTGGCTACTTGGGAACCCAAGCCATTTGACATACAATAAATCACCCTTCCTCCTAATTACCTTTTCTACTAAATACATGTCTTTATACTTGGTCTTTAACAACTCCTCTGTATAGAAGCCTCCTCTGATTATATTACCATTTTCATCTTTCAAGATATAAGTCACAGGCTTTGTATTCTTTACTTCTGCTATTGTAAATAGTTCCCCTGTCCAATTCGGAGTATAACCTTTACTAAAAACATGTTTATACTTGGAAATCCTTACGCTATCACCTACCTTATATCTTGGCTTTTTAACTTGCACTACTTTAGAAGTCCTTTCATGCAACCTCTCATGCACATATTTACTGTTCTTAATATTCACTTGGTTAGGCTTCATTCCTATAGATCTATGCACTTTATTATTATATTTTCGAATTAACTTTGGAAGTAAATCCAACCATTTATAACTCCCCTGAGCACTAAATTCTCTATATAACCAATTCTTTAAAGTTCTCTGAAACCTCTCCACAATTGCAGCCTTAGTTTTGGAAATTATGTGATAGTGATTAATATTTAATTTTTTCATTAGTTTGCTAAAATATTGATTAAAAAATTCTTTTCCATTGTCGGATTGAATGTTTTTAACCCCCTTTGGTAGAATGGTTTTAATGGCTTCTGTAACCACCAACCCTGTCTTATTCTTTAGTGGAGCAGCATAAGCTTTTTTAGAAAATGTATCTATTAAAGTTAAAATATATTTATTGCCAGAATTTTCTCTAGCATAGTTTTGCATATCAATTAAATCTATTTGTACAGTTTCGTTTATACCCAATACTTTAAAAGACCTTCTAATGAAATTCTTTCTTGCAGGCTTATGAAGTTCGTATGCAATTTTATTCATTTTTTATAACATCATCCTTTCCTGTAACTCTAAATACATCACCATTAGCCCCAATCAATAGATTATCTTCCATTCTTTTAAATACATAGTTTTCTGGTATATATGGTCTATTATCTATATACTTAAATCCACTCAAAGATGTGGGGTCAGCAACTAATAAATCAGGATTATATTCCATCAAATTAAAAATTTTTTCTCCATATACAAATTTTGATCCATCGTAATGCATAGCTTGTGACATTAGACAAATATCATCCGAATGTTCCCCCTCTGGTAGATTTCTTATAAATTGTTTTTTGGCATCCCAACATTTTTCTTTTTTATCAAAAGTTATAGTCTGTTCTTTTATAACACAGTCAGTTTCATCAATGGCAGGTTTAACACGTACTAACCTTTTATTATAAACACTCCAATAGCCTGCTTCCATTTTTGGAACTTGTGAAACATTCACAGCATCTTTACTATCTGTACCTTCCATCAAATTGCTAAGTTTCTGTTTCTTAGCATTCCAAACACCATTCTCTGATTCTAAAAATTCATAATTATTATCATCTTGTATAAATTTACCATCTTCTTTTCGTATTAAAGTCTGTTGTAAAGTGGGCACATCATCTAAACTTTCGCCCTTTTCTACATTAGTAATTTTCCGTTTCTTAGCATTCCAAACACCATTCTCCGATTCTAAAAATTCATAATTTTTATTGTCTTGTACAAATGTACCACCATCTGTTCGTATTAAAGTCTGTTGTAAAGTGGGCACATCATCTAAACTTTCACCCTTTTCCACATTAGTAATTTTCTGTTTTTTAGCATTCCACTTTTTATTCTTAGATTCTAAAAACTCATATTTAGTTTTACCTTGTAAAAAGACATCACCTTTTCTAGTTAATGTCTGTCCTAAAGTTGATACATCATCTACAAACTCCCCATCTTTAACATTACCAATTTTACGGTTTAAACAATTCCAACTATCATCTTGTAAATTTAAAGTAGGTTCACTACTCATGGTTGCCGCCCTGGGTTCTGCAGGCTTATTATATGGATTATATAAACGATAAAATTTATCTATAAACATATTTTTATTTAATAAATAATTCCACTTTCTCTCAATTCCTCAATAATGGAATCTATTTCATTATCCACTCCTGAGTTACCGGCTTGGCGACTTAGCCAAAGAAGTCTTAACCTATCTACAAGCTCATTAGGATCATCCCAATAAATATAGTCTATTTTATTACCAGTCACTTGTCTCAAACCTTCACCAACAGATTTAAATAGAGGTTTAATTATATTAAGATATTTAGTATGTCTATTACTTGAAATTGGTGCACCATCTTTGTAACTCTTTAAATGTCCATTTGTAGCTTCCAAAATCTCTTTATAATTTTGCAAATCAGCCTGAGTATAGTTCTCAGGTTCTTTTAACGTTAACAATTCCCATAAACCTTTTGTCCCCTTGTAGGTTTTATTTGCAACTGTAACATCATCATTGCCAATATCAACTTCCTTATTTCCAATAAAAAATTTATTTGCTTCTCGTCTAATACCATATGTAGTGTCTGTCATACTACTTTTACTGAGGTAATTTCCTAAATAGTCTGATGCTAAAAGACCAAAATCTAATTTCTGTGGGGTGGATGGTTGTAATGGTTGTAATGGTTGTAATCTTGGTATCATTGATATTCTAGATGGAGTCATTGGGAGTATCTCCATTCGAGGCCTCTCTGATGTGATTTTCTTTAATTCTTGTAATGGCTCTATTAAAGGTTGGAATGTTTGGAACCTCTCTTCAGCCTCTAGAAACTTGCCACGTTTTAAAGCTCTATATTTCTCTCGTATTTGATTTGCAGAGTCAACCAATTCTTGTTGAATGTTTTTCATCTTTTATTTACATTTTATTTATCTCATTTGACAAAGGATTGTACTCAAACACTTTATCATGTATTATCAAACAATATGCAGATGTATTTGCTGGCACATTTTCTGCAGTTTCAATCTCTAATTTAATATCAACAATTCCTTCTTTCACTGTTTCGTTCTGTCTAGAACAGTCTATTACAATTAGTGGATATTTCTTAATAAACTCAGCCCTACTAATCATAGGATCTGGGATAGTATTATAGTAAGTCTCTCTAAACCTCATAAACATCTCATAAGCTTTAGAGACATCTCCATTTTCAAAGTCGAGATTTAAATCACTATAAGGATAATATTCAGAGTTTAGAAATACTTTGAGATTTTTTAATTTACAGTGATCAAATTCATCAGTTCTTTTTCGTGCACTATTGTCCCTAGCTGTTTGGAAACCAAATATAATATACCTAGGCTTCTCCAAACTTGAAGATGTCTTTACTGACCATGTATGTCTTGTGGTATTGGGATATGATGGAAGTTCATGCAGCTCTAAACTTCTAAATGCAATTTGCAAATTTTTATTTTGCAATAACATCTTTTGTAATTGTAACTTCTCTCCATCTGATGGTATCACATGTGGCATGACCCATTGAATAGAGTTAAGTGTAATTTTGGGAATCGTATCAGCAGTGCCACTGGCTGGAGCACTAGTGGTTGTTAATATACAATTCAAATCATTTTTGGATCTTTTCAACACCAATTCTTGTTTGACATTTACTAATACCTTATTAAAATCCTCAAATACACCCATTAACAGCTCTAATGGCAAACATGTACTAAACTTGCCACCTTTATGGAACTCTTTTAAATTTGTGTCAGAATCAAATGCTACATTTGACAATTTAGTAGTTTTATTGTAAGAGCTCAATATTTTCATAAGACTAGAAATTCCTGGGTTTCTTACAATGTCTATTTCTTTACCTGCAACTTCGTATCTAATTTCATCAAATAAGAACGCAAATGCATTATTTATAAAATGACCTTTTTCATGATTTTCAATTTCTCCCTTAATATACAGATAACTCCTACACGGGAGAGTTAGCAAATCTTGATTATTAATACATATTCGAATTTCATCAGAATTATTTATTGCTAAAGTGTTGTGGGGAACATAGGAGTGATTTGTAATTTTAACCACACTATCGTCGAATTGGGATTTTCCCTGTAACGTCTAGAAAATCTTCCATTTTTATTAATAGAAAATTTTAACTTTAGTCCTATTGACTTTAGG